GGAAGGGGGCAGGGGTGGCAGGAGGGCTCTTCCTCTTGGCCGGGGTCTCCCCGGGAGACCCAGCAGTGCCAGGATCTCCCGCTGCATCTCGCGTTGCACCTGGCGCCCGCTCAGCCGCCGGTGATGCGCAGGGAGAGGCAGAGGGTGGCGATTCGGATGCTGCTGCTGGTGGTGGCATGAGGAGGAGGAGGATGGAGAAGTAGCTGCCAGCAGGAGCCCTGGGAGGAAGAGAAGGGGGACAAGGAGCAGCAGCACCGCTGGGAGTCGCATGGTGGGGCCCTTTAAGCAGGAGGGTCTTTGGGGCCAGGGGGACGGCCCCTGCCCTGCCTCCTCCAGCTGGAGACAGGTGAGTGAGAAGGAGAGTCCCAGCCACTTGCCACTGACTCTTTGGCTCCAGCTGCAGGAGAGAGAGGCTGCCTTGGGACAGGCAAGGGAGGGTGGCCCAGCCGCCTATTTCACTCACTCATTCACTCTGTAGGGAGGGAGGAGGCGCTCCCATTGCCCTCATGGCTGTCCCGCCCCATTTCAGCAATTCCCTGGCCTGGGAGAGGAGCCCAGCAGAGCAGAGAAGCCCTCAGCTAGGAAGGGCTGATGCCACAAGGTAACGCAGTGGTCCTCAACCTTCCTAATGCTGCAACCCTTTAATGCAGTTCCTCATGTTGTGGTGACCCCCAACCATAAAATGATTTTTGCTGCTGTAGAAGGCTTTCATGGCCAGAATCACTGGGTTGCTGTAAGTTTTTCAGGCTGTATAGCCATGTTCTAGAAACATTATCTCCTGACATTTCTTTTTTTTTTAATTAAAATTATTTTATCATAGTTCAATACATTTGTTATACATTGTTTAGTTTCTGTCCCCCATGCTTTTTAACATCTACATGAAACCACTGGGTGAGGTCATCCGGAGTTTTAGAGTTCGGTACCGTCTCTACGCAGATGATGCCCAACTCTACTACTCGTTTCCACCTAACTCCAAGGAAGCCCCTTGGGTGCTGGACGAGTGCCTGGCCGCTGTGACAGTCTGGATGAGGACGAATAAGCTGAGGATCAATCCTCACAAGATAGAGGTCCTCCAGGTCAATCGTTGGCCAGATCGAGGTATAGGGTGGCAACCTGTGCTTGACTTCCCCTGAAGTCACAGGTCCGCAGCTTGGGGGTTCTCCTAGATTCAGCGCTAACACTTGGAAGCGCAGGCATCGGCGGTGGCTGGGAGGGTCTTCGCACAATTGAAGCTCATGCACCAGCAGCAACCGTACCTTGTGAAGTCGGATTTGGCCACGGTGGTCAACGCCTTAGTTACCTCTAGATTGGACTATTGCAATGTGCTCTATGTGGGGCTGCCCTTGAAGACGGCCTGGAAATTCCAACCTGTCCAACAAGCTGCAGCCAGACTGGTGTAACTTACAGGGAGCGGTCAACCCCTCTGTTTAAGGAATTCCACTTGTTGCCGTTTATTTTCCGAACTCATAAAACAACGCAGTGAACCAGGTTTGGCACAAATACCCCAGACACCCAAATTTAAATACTGGTGGGGTGGGGGTTGATTTTATCATTTGGAAGTTGTAGTTGCTGGGATTTATAGTTCACATACAATCAAAGGGCATTCTGAGCTCTACCAACAATGGAATAGAAACAAACTTAGCACACAGAACTCTCATGACCAACAGAAAATACTGGAAGGTTCTGGTGGGCATTGACCTTTAGTTTGGGAGTTGTAGTTCACCTACATCCAGAGAGCACTGTGCACTCAAACAATGATGGATCTGGACCAAACTGGGCAGGTATACTCAATATGCCCAAGTGTGAACACTGGTAGAGTTTGGGGGGAAGAGAGACCTTGACATTTGGGGTTGCAGTTGCTGGGATTTATAGTTCACCTACAATCAAAGAACATTCTGAACCTGACCAACGATAGAATTGGGCCAAACCTCCCACACAGAACCTCCATGTCCACTTACTACACAGAACATTTCTGATGGTCTTTGGTGACCCCTGTAACACTTCCTCGTCCACCCAATCAGGGGTCCCAACCCCCCAGGTTGAGAAACGCTGTAGTAGACGAAGCCTCCTTCACACTGTTCTTTTGCAGCTACAGGTGAGCCAAATCTAGACTCCAGATATTGGGCTGCAATTCCCAGCTGTCTTGACCAATGTAACCAGTGGTCAAGGATGTTGGGATTTGAAAGTTCTGTGACATTTGGAGGAAAGCTACACAGTTCCTCTCCCTTTCTTAAACCTGGAATGAGTTTGCGGCTGCAGCCCACTGGGATGGAGCAGGAAGGCTCCAGAGAGGCATATCCGTGGAATGGCCAGAGGAAGAGCCATTCCATCAAGTGGACCACCTGACTTCATCCCTTTTGAAGGGTTAGGAATCTGCCCTGGGCCTCCTTATTGATGGGGAGGGAATTTGGAGGTTAGGTGGCTGGTATCCAGTGTCCCCTGGTGGCGCAGTGGGTTAAACCACTGAGCTACTGATTTTGCTCAGAAATGCACAAAAAAGGATAGACTTACTACAAAAGACTCAAAACTTCAATTCCTTAGTATACTAAAGCTATCAAATATTAGAAGAATTAGGGAAGGTAAACTCTTGCAGTACAGGGTTTGTGAGCATTTTCTTTCCACACATTGCTTGCCTCCGTATTATTGGCGGTACAAATCTGGGGAGTGGGGTGAGCTCCCACTGTTAGCCCTAGCTTCTGCCAACCCAACGGGTCGAAAACATGAAAATGTGAGTAGATCAATAGGTATTGCTTCTTTGGGAAGGTAACGATGCTCCATGCAGTCATGCCGGCCACATGACCTTGGAGGCGTCTATGGACAGTGCTGGTTCTTCAGTTTAGAAATGGAAATGAGCATCACCCCCACGAGTCAGACATGACTAAACTTAATGTCAGTGGATACTTTTACCTTTACAGGGTAGTATCCTATTTTGCCCCCAAATTAGAATTCTCCTTGCTTTGCGGATGGAAATGTTTTCCTTTGACAACCGCGATGAAGTATTGCACATTCTGATAAGTTTTTGTAGGGAAACTTGGGTGCTTCTCCATGCCTGCCTTCATTGGGGTTGGCTTTTTGGCAAAACAGCTTACTTGAGTCATGTTGACATCTTATAAACTTCTGCTCCCTTCGCAACAGAGGTATCTTTTCCTCAATAACAGCTTCCCTGGTCTCAGTTATCTTCTGTGCCTTCAAATCATTTCTGACTTATAATGACCCTAAGATGAGCCTATCATTGGGGCTTTTTGGGGGACAGAATTTGTTCAGAGGGGTTCCAGCACTTACCTGTACCTTGCCTCATTGGTCTTGCAAAGGCTTCCACTCTTAACCTAGTACTACCATTAAAATTTGGAGGTCTGTGTCTGAGCAGCGTAAGGTCCTAACTTGAGGGTGTGAATTCTATAGATGAAAGTGTCCTTGAGCATGTGCAGAGCACACACCACCATTGCAGCTGTGACCTATCAAGACAACTTATGTTGTTGGACTGGCTGGGGACCCATTATACCACCTCCTCCATTTTCCCAGATGTCGTGCTGAATTCTGCAAGAATGTCAGGGACATGCTTGTGTTTGCTTTGGTAGGAGCTTTACAGCGAGCATTGGGAATAAATTAATAGACAATAGGGTGCCATATTGTTTTTTTTGCTTGAGGCCAGCTCTGTAGCAGTCCAAGATGGTACTTTTAGGAGGTTGGAGCCAAGTACCCTCACAGCCTTGGCTGAGAGACCAACGATCCCATTGTTTACAACTGATTTTTGAGCAACTAAGCTAAGCATGATTAGCCCTGGTTAGTACTTGGATGGGAGTCCGCTAATGAGTACCATGTTGTGCAGACTGTATTTTAGAGGAAGGAATGGACATGCACCCCTTAATGTTCTTTGCCTAAGAAACCCTGTGGAAATCATGCGGTTGCCATAGGTGGATAGGTTCCTTGAAGGCCTGCACAAACACAAACCACCACAGAGAAGGTCCCTGGGTTAGTCTTCTCTATGGAAGGAAAGGGCAGTAAGGACACCCCCCCCCCCCATGTACACACACAAATTCCCTCTCAATCTGGCGGTTTTCTGTGCAGCACAAAGCAAGAGACATGTTGCTTATTATTACTGCAAGCAATTTTAATACAAAAAGAGTCTTTTTCTTTTAAAACAATTCATTGGTAGAGCTTCAGGTTCTGGCTCAAATCAACCAACTGAGAATCACACAGCAATATGGTCAGTCAGAGCAAGGGAAAAAGAGTACAAGGTAATAAATACAGGAAGACCAAGTAGCCCCTGCCCCATCTCTTCCCTCCCCCTGCTTTAGGGTCACACACATTTAGCGTTTTTTTCCATTCCTCCCTTTCACACACCCACCCCACCCCGCAACAAAGGGAAGAAAAGTGGAGGGGCGCATACAAAAGTGTGTGTTTGTGTGTGAGAGTGGAGGCTGGCGAAGGAGGGGGGCTGCTGGTGATACACTTTTTAAAACTCCTAAGCGGCTGTGCGTCTTGAAGGCAGCTCTTCCCTGGAGCGGAGGGTCTCCTGTGGCCAGGCTCAGTCCAGAGGCAAGAGAATAAATAGGAAACAATGCAGTCCGCCACTTGTCCCATAGCAGTCTATGAACTAGAAAGTGAGGAGAGGTGGGGGGGGGGGGGGGGCTGTTGCTTTTGCAGCTGTTGGAGCAGTACCCCATTGCTGCCCCATTGCCAAACAAAGGGATGTGTGCCCAGGGTCCCTCAGGCCCAAGGAATCTTCTGGCATTTTTGGCAGCTTCAAGTTGAACACCTGCACCCCCCCCCCCCCAAAGTACAGGATCAGTTATCCTTTTAAAAAGCCTAGCAGCTGATGAGGCGTTTGCACGTTGCTATAAGTATACAGTGTTGTTGTTTTTCTTAGTGAGTTCATTTAGTGGAACAAAAGTTGTGCAAATGTTTGTTCAAACTCACTCTGTTGCAATCTTCAGGTAAAACCAGGAATTCTTTTTTTTAGAAAAAACTGGAAACAGAAGCCCCAGGTTCCCTTGCTGCATGTTTTCTCTCTTTTTGAGGTATCCAAGATTTACACAAAAAAAGAAAAAGAAAGAGAGAGTTCCTTGAACACTGCTGGATAGTCCTGTGTTGCTTTTCTCAATAACTTGCTGGGACAGCAAGTGAAACGTTGTTTTCTCATAACAATGTTTTAGGAAACAATCCTAAAAGATAAAGCAGGATAAAGCTCCTGCGCTGCACAGAAATCCTATTTATAATGGTTTAGTTTGTACATTTTCACATCCTGACCTTTTGCTTGTCTCAGTCCCCCCCCCCCCGACCCAAACGCAAAAAAGGTCACCAGAAGGCAAGTTTTATCTACATAAATATTCACATGAAAATAGTAACTTACAAAAAAATTAACAGAACAAAATAAGGCAGCTTGACAACTTTTTTAAACTTTAAACAATATATATATATTTTTCCATCTAGAATAAATATGCACCCAGCAGGGTGTTTCAATAGCTGGGTCCTTTCTCTTAATGTCAGTTTTGCCAGGCAGGAAATATGATGGATGCCATGTTATCTCCTAGCACCAGGCATTTTGGGGCTGACAGCAGTGTTGGCGGAAGGCGTCTTTTTTGTGATCGTTGGGATCTTGGAGGGTTTGGCCCCAGTGCCCCGCCGGGAGCCCCCTTGCCCTCCAGTGGCGCTGCTCTCTGAGGTGTCGGAGCAGGCAGACTGGGTCTCCAGGTCGAAATCTGAGGCGTCGCTGCCCCGGCGGCTGCTGGCCCGGCTCCCAGCCCGACTGGTTGGGCGGCTAGTGGTCTTCTTTGGGTCTGGAAATATGAAAAGCAGGTGCTTTTTTAGCCGCTGCCACAAATAGGCAAATGGAAAACAGAGGGAGGGGGGGATCAAAGACAAACAGACAAGGAGGTTTCTTGGCTAGGTTGGCCTATGGGTGATCATAGGCACACCCAACTCCCATGACCAAGAGAAAATATTGGAAGGGTTTGATGGGCATTGACTTTGAGTTTGGGAGTTGTAGTTCACCTACATCCCGAGAGCACTGTGGACTCAAACAATGATGGATCTGGACCAAACTTGGCAAAAAAAACCCTCAATGTGAACACCAGTGGAGTTTGGGGAAAATAGACCTTGACATTTGGGAGCTGCAGTTGTCGAGATTTATAGTTCACCTACAATCAACAAGCATTCTGAACCCCACCAATGACAGAATTGGGTCAAACTTCCCACCCAGAACCCCCATGACCAACAGAAAGTACTGTGTTTTCTGATGGTCTTTGGCGACCCCTCTGACACCCCCTCAGAGGTCCCGACCCCCAGGTTGAGAAACACTGTCCTATGGGGAGGTTGGACATCTATGTCTCATATGTTGGCTGATGGCCAGCTGCCTCATTGAGCCTCCCTGCCTGCGTGCATAGGAATTCATTCATGTTTTTTTTTTTTCCAAATTATAATCCGGCCCTCCAACAGTTTGATGGACTGTGACCTGGCCCTCTGTTTAAAAAGTTTGTGGACTCCTACATTAAAGGTTACCACATTTGCAGTCTCAGCCCAAAAAATCCGAGCTAAATTTAGCAAAGTCCACAGCGGAGGCTAGAAATGGAAATAGAGATAGTTTGGGATGATACAAATCAGACATTTGTTATTGTGCTACTACAATGTTAAAGAGCCAGTGTATGGAATACGTTTTAATGTTTATATTGGAAAGTGTTTATTGTACTTTTAAAGTTTGTATATTATTTGATGTCATGGCCTATGGCTGGTACAATAAACAATTCATTTAATTCATTCAAGCTCCAAGCATACCGCCAGATGCTCCTCACTGTGTACAAACAACCACGGGGCTCAGTCGTTTACAAGACTGAAACCCTGCAACATAAGGCCCAATGAGATATTCTTTATTTTTGGGTCAATTTTAAAAATTTGTGTCTGTCTCAAAACGGTTTGTTAAACATGATAGCTCATTAAATCATTGTGCATCTCTTATCAAGTTGCGTAGTAAAAGATACTGCCATTGAAACTGGGCCCATCATTTTGTGTAGTTTTGTTTTGTTTTGTTTTTTTGGTCGTGTCAGGAGCGGCTTGAGAAACTGCAAGTCGCTTCTGGTGTGAGAGAATTGGCTGTCTGCAAGGACGTTGCCCAGGGGACGCCCGGATGACTTGATGTTTTTATCATCCTTGTGGGAGGCTTCTCTCATGTCCCCGCATGAGGAGCTGGAGCTGATAGAGGGAGCTCATCCGCCTCTCCTCGGATTTGAACCTGTGACCTGTCGGTCTTCAGTCCTGCCGGCACAGGGGGTTTAACCCACTGCGCCACCGGGGGCTCCATCCTGTGTAGTGAACAACACAAATACATTCCCTGTCTGTGGCTTAAGAAGTGCTTTCCCATCCATTGTAAGTGGCCCATCTTCCACAGGAGCTGGCTTTAGTCTGATGCAGCCCTTCTGATACAAGATTATCTTCTCTCCCCCCCCCCCCCCCCTGCTTAACTGTCTTAGTAAATACTTTCTCTTGCTGGATAGGTTTCCCTTCTGTTGTTGGACTCCAGCTCCCATTGCAGTTGGCTCATCTCTGTCTGTGATGACACGCCTGTGTTGTTGTGAGTGGACTGCGCTTCTTACAAAACAACGGTTGGGGAAGACGTAGCTGTGGGATACATTCTTGCCTCTCTGTGCATGCAGCCCATATTCTGTTTCCTCAGCGGCACTTACCTGCCCGGTTAGTTTTGGCACCCGAAGAAACTGGTGAAGAGCTATTACTGGTATCCCCAGCCAGTGATGTTCGGCTTGAGTGGAAAGTGGGCCGTTTCAGCTTGCTACTGGAAGACGGCGCCACCTTGAAACAATAAAGGGGAAATCAAGTTTTTCTCAAGCAGTGAATTGAGTGTTTAAAATGCAGTTTAGAAGCAAAGAAGGTGTCTGTGCTCCACGAGCAAAGCTGCAGCTTTCCCACAACATCTTAAAGGTCACACAGAAATGTACTGGGCGCTGATATGACCCATGTGGCACAGGGGTGGGGGGTCTGCCTTTGTTACGGCACAAGACCTGCACAACAGCCACAAAGCCCCAAAGAGGACTTGCGTTTGAAGAGTTTGTTGTTTGGTTGACTGCTTCCCTTAAGGAAGATGGTTGGCTGACCCCTTTTTCCCTCCACTCCCAATTGATCCCAACCTTTAAGGTGCTGCAGGACAAAGGGAAAAAGAGAAGCAGACAGATGCCAAGGAAGCTCTTTTTGTGTCTCAAACGAAGAAGAATAAAGCCAGGCTGTTAAAGCAGACCACTGTTTACTGCCCTTGTGGGAAACGGGGAAATCCCCCCCCCCTTCCCAGCACTTCTGGAGGAAGGTGCAGTTGGCTAAATAGGTTGTGTGACAAGAGGATGCCCTGGAAGGGTTTAGCTGGGTGACTAAATCACTATGCAGAACCAAAATGGCTCCACAGGTGTTTTTCGACTGCAGTTGCCATTGTCTCTCAGCAGAAGTTCTGCTAGACCCAAATGTCCTGGCTTAGAACATGGCGGACACACTGGGGAAATAGAAAGGGGTCCCACCGACATGCCTTTTACAGCACAGAGGAAGGATGTGAAAATGCAAGCTAGAACATGTCCAGAGAAGGATGACCAAAATGATCACAGGTTTGGAACTATAAAACCCTATGAGAAGTGGCTAAGGGAGCTATAGGGAATGTGATATGTGGAGAAAAGAAGGCAGAGCAGACATTGTTTAAATATTTCTCCTTGTACTGAGAAGGGCAGCTTGTTCCCTCCTGTTCCAGAGGCTATGACACATTAAAGCACTGAATTCAAATTGCAGAGAACAAGATTCCACCTAAACATTAGGAAGAACTTCCTGACCAAAAGAGTTGTTCAGCAGTAGAATATGGTGCTATCTCCTTTTCTGGCAGGAATAGAAACCAATGACAAGAGCACTCAGAGAAGCAAGGTTCAAGTACAGATGGAGCTTTTTCTCCAAGACCGTGGTGCAGAGCAAAAATGGGCCACTGGTCCAAGAATTAACTGCAGAACTGACAGAGCTGTATTTGTATAGAAGTCTGAGAATGATTTGGGGGGGGGGGGGGATAGATTGAGAACAGGCTATGCAACAATGTAATTCTATTGTGTTAAATATTTTTTTATTAAAGAAAAAGAATCATTAAAAAAGAAAGAAATCCAGGTGAGAAGCCTGCGAAAAGCACGCCAGCCTTGCCTTCAGGAGGTTACCAAGCGTTACTAGAGCCACGGAAGCAACACGCGCAACCTCTTCTCGCCACTCGCGCTGGCCTAGGGAAGCCATACTCTACCTCAGAAGCAGACAGGCGGAGGTCAGCGCTATTGTGGCCCCTCTGGGAGGAGGGGGTCCCTGGCTTGCTGTTTGCCAACCAGGGTTTGTCATAAGAACGAGTGAAGTGATGCGGAGTCTGTGAAATGGAAAATCCAAAGAGAGGTTGAGGGGAAGGGGAAGCGAGCGAGCAGGAGGGGGAAAGGAGAATCCAAGATGGAAAGGAACAAAAACAGAAAATAAACCCTGGAATAAAACAACACAGTGGTGGATAATGACAACAAAACACACACATTGACACAATGAGGGGACAGACAGAGTCTGGGCTCTGTCCATGGGACTGGCATGGACATCTGATCCAGCCAACGAGAGGGGAGGAAACGGAGGGAGACATGCTCAGTGGTCACAGAAACCAGGACACAAAATGAAGCACAGGACGGATACAATGGGAGTGGAGGGAAGAAGTGAGACACAGGCCTCCGCCTTTTCACTCTCACTAGGGCAGCATTTTATAGGCATGACTAAATAAGAGTGGCTGAGAGATCTATGGTGGACTGCATATCATCAAGACTTAGCTGGACACCTCCGGGGCATGTTGAAAAACACCCGCTTGTGTGCTTAATTTAGGACCCGCCAGCTCTCACACCTTGCCTCTCCTGAGTGTGCTTGACTGAGTGAGGGAAACAGGAGGGCAGAAAGGGTTTTGGGCCCATGAGGCCTGTTCTGCTTAGAGCCTGCAGCCTTGGCTCAAGAGTACACATTTTGCTTTTCAAGAGATGTTTTATATGTCCCCTGCTCCATTCTCCATTAAAGGAGAATGTTCAGGGTGGAAACTAAACCAAAACCCAAGGAGAGAACCTGAGGGGAAAGGAGCATTTTCCAATATGAGCAAATGCCCTCACCTTTGTGCCGCTTGCTGGCGTGGCTGGAGAGGATGGCATGGAAGTGCAGCTGTGGTTGCTCTGGCTGGCGCTGGAGCTGGAGCGAGTCGGGGAGGCAGCCCGTGAAGAGGGCTTGGACCGCCGGCCCCGAGATCGGAATGGTGCCATTCCCTGAGAAGCCCCCTCTGGAAGGATGAATTTCTCCCGGAGTTCAAGGTTGGTCCTTCCTCGTGCTAGAAGAAAGAAACGGCAACAACGATGACGAACAAAATATATCTGAACCAAAAGAGCCATAACCTGAGGAGCAAATGCACGCCAGAGCCAGGCAACACCACACGCTTCTGACAGCCTGGTGCAGATTTGTAAAAGCTTGGATTCTTTCTGGCTCATTCCAACTGAACTTCATGCAGAGAAAACCATCTTAGCCTTCTCAGTTGGTTCCATCATGCCAAAGTAAAAGGGCCCTCCTCTTAGATGAAGGACTAAGTGTCTAACTCTTCTTCTGCAGTTCATACTTTGCCTGCTATCAGTCTCTGATCAATTATAGCACAGCCACACATGTCTCCAACCCTTAATCTTTGGTGTCGTTGCCTCCAAATGGACACAGAGCATCTGAAGTGACTCAAGATGGGGACCTGTCTTCCACCCCAACACTGCAGAAAGTAGAACTGGCTCAGCCACAAGGGCACTCACTGGAACAGCCCACATTTGCCTTATGTGAAGAGGTCTAGTGAAGGGAGTGCCTCCAACCCCTCATTTTTTCAAGAAGTTGGAAGGAAATGCATCATGGGTGGGCAGAGACTTAATCTACAACCACAAAATAACAGCTTCATTGATCTTAAACAGTCAACGTTTTCTGCAGTCTTGGGGTAAGAAGAGAATGATCCCAACAGGCAGAAGTCGAGACAACCAGGAGCAACTTTGTTAAGGAAGCAAGACCATGCAAGGCAAAAAGTGCAAGGGGAGGTCTTAGACCCCATCCCAATCCAAGGCAAGCACGTACAGTTTCACCCTGTGGCAGGATAACCTAGACGTTGGCAGCAACACTCAAGAAATGTTTCAAGGGAGCTGGACACAGCATTGCCAAGAGACAGCAGAGGAACCGTCTGGGTTTTCTGGCCACAAGGCGACATGCAGCTGAGTTCAAGCAAAAGGTTCTGAAGGGGCCTTAAATGTGCTGTGGATTGTGTGGATCAGAGGCAGTTATGCCACCCACAAAGGAAGAAGGGCCACCTGATAGTTTTCAATATGGCACTGGACAGCAAGCTAAAGCAAAGGACTGTCCTCCAAAGCATCAAGTACTTCCAGCTTTTGCAAGGGCACAACACCCATGAAGATATAAAGGGGCTCTTAGGATCCAGGGAGATGCTGGGAAAGGGACCAAAGGAGGAGGACAGAAACCACGGCTCTAGATATCCTGGAACTACAGCTCAACAATCACCTATGGAGGACCCCACATTTCCCAGCCCTGGACTGGAGAAGGTGATATAATGGAGCCCAACTGGTACTTTGGATCCAATTTGGGGGGGGGGGGGGGGAGACAGGATATAAATCAAATCAAATGAAATATGCTTGTACTGGGTCCCATCCTTTCTCCTCGGTCAGGCTACTAGGAGGACAAGGTGAAGTGAAGGAATACACCTGGAACCCATGGAAAGAGACTGGCCATGAACACTGAACTGAGCTACCTGTGCGCTACCTTGTAGAGAACTCTATCTCTGCTGCTCTCAGCCCAAACCAGCAAAGGCAAGTGTTTTCAAACCTTTCCTTTTTCTTTTTTAATTTGCCAAAGCATGGCCAAAGGAAGCAACAGAATGGGCTAGAGGGGCAACAGGGAAGAAGATGGGTCTGAGCAGCAAAGCCATTCCTGGCAGGAGGAGAGTGAAGAGGAAGCCAAGAAAAACCGCCAACCTATTGGAGACTGACTGGCAATCGAAGAACTGGAATCAGAGCGTTTTATTTTACTTCCAGGGTGGTGAACTAGAATAGAGAAGATACACATATGCAAAGGAAAGAAGGAGCAGGAAAACACACAGCCAGATAGGACTGCTAAAGTGGGAATTGAAGCATTGAAAGAGAAGAGCTTACAGAAGCAAAAGAATTCACAGGTTGTAGGAGGAGAAGAGTTCCATTATTTCCTCTTTATTCACATTCATGTTGACCCTACTACTCTCAAGTAAATAAACCCATGCCACAGAAAATCTAAATAGCTTCCTCGCTACCACTAACGTAGGATGGAGAAAATTCACAAGGAAGTTCTCCTTCTCAAGGCTTGCACTGAAGTTCTCTTCACCGGGACTGTGGTGCAGTTGGCTGGGAGTCAGCTGCATTAAGATAACTACTGACCAAAAGGTCATGAGTTCGAAGCCAGCCCAGGTCGGAGTGAGCTTCTGACCAATTTGTATAGCTTGCTGTCGACCTTTGCAGCCTGAAAGACAGTTGCATCTGTCAAGTAGGAAATTTAGGTGCTGCTTATGGGGAGGCTAATTTACGATGCCATAAAAACCTCCAGCAAGCATGTAAAGAATGAGGAAGTACTTTATCAGTGTCACAAATGGACGGTGACACGACAGCTCCCCTGGTAGCCAGAATATCCTCATAAAAAAGCTGGAATGTTAAATAGCCTCTGTGTCTCTCTATATCTGTTGTGTGTCTATGGCATTGAATGTTTGCCATGTATATGTACATTGTAATCCGCCCTGAGTCCCCTGCGGGGTGAGAAGGGCGGAATATAAATCCTGTAAATAAATAAATAAATTTCAGTAGGAACTTTGCACAAGAAACTTGGCCATTATTTCTGCTCCAAAAGTGATACTGACTTTCCACCCATCCACTCTAAATGCCAGCTACCGCAGTGCCTCTCAGTTGAGCTGACAAGAGGAAAAACCTTCCTTCATGACCCAGAATCTTGAGAGGCTGAATACCCACATCTGCGAACAGCATGCATTTCTTACCTCGGCAGGGATCGTTCTTCACTAGAAACTCGTCCAGGGCCATCCAGCCTCCGCCGACACGGACCATGACTGTGCTGCGCAGGATACGGACCAGCCGCAACTGCTGCGAATCGCCAAACTGTGGAGGTAGGGAGCAGAGAAAGGTTTAAGCACACAGTGGCACCAGTGGGCATCATGCAGCACAAAAGGCACACATGCGCTTCTCCAGAAGGGACTGCAGCAGGACAGGCAAGCCACGTGTGGATTTTGGAATTCCCTTTCCTACAGGGTATTTTAAAATAGAGCAGATGGGTATTCATGCACCATTAAAATGGGACTTAATCAAAATCATAAACTGCTTCCTTGGGTGGAGGAACGGCTCAGTGGTAGAGCACATTTGTTGCAAGCAGAGGATTCCAGGATCAACTTCGAGCATCCCCCAATTTATAAGAAGGACATGGGGATGGGAAAGACCCCCCCTGGAGATCCTGTGAAGGCACTGCCAGTCAGAGAAGGTCACATACGGTCCAGTGAGCTGTCTCTCTAAGGCAGCTTCTAATGTTCATGTTTGCCAAAAATCCTCTTCTGCTGCATTTACGCATCTCTGTGCTCCTCTCCCTTTGGCCCAATTCAGTCACTCAGTCTATTTGGAACATAGAAATTCCAGGCTTCTTTCTCAATTAATTTGCATATTTTGGGGAGCAGTTCGGAGTCACCTCCACGTTGGTCCTGATGCAGTCCATTCTGAAAAGGGGTGGGTTGATATTCAAGCAAAGATCAGCAAAGGAATTCTAGTGCAGCAGCTTTGGATAGAACAGCCATTCACCCATTTGGAAGCCCCATTGAATTCCCAGTTTGGAACACACCGTTACCCCATCATCCCATGGCAGAGAAGCTAATCACAAGAGCAGTTAAGGAGCAGAAGACTTATTAATTGTCAGGATAATTAGTAATCTAAGATTTCTGCAATTTGTAGCGTTGGCCAAACAAGTCCCAGGACCATGCAGCAAATCCGTCTGGCCCAGAAACCCACTCTGCTCAGGGCAGCTTCTCCAGCACATGCTTCCAATTCCTAATCATGCCTTTTCAGAAACCTTTCCTATGAACCTGCAAGGGGAGATCTATTTACAGATGGGAAACAGGGCACTTCTATATAACAAAATTACAGTTTCCGAAGTGATTCAGATATTTTTCATATTTTCAGCTCATCACCTTTTTTTTGTTTTTGTTTTTTTTGCAAGATGCTAACTTTGCTCTTTCCCCAGTCTTGGAAATTCAAGTCCACTTTGACCAATGGACAATCCAGTATACACTTATAATCAAAGTTCACCCTGCATTAAATGTTCCAATCTTTTACTATTTAGTATGAAAGAAGGATATCACAAACAAAATGAATTTCAAATGCATTTCTTCAGTCCATAGTTAACGATTTGGAAGCAGAAAGGAGAATAACTTTTGTTTTTGTTTTTATCTTCTTGCAATTGTGAGTTATTAAACCAAGATCTATGCAGGCAACTGAAAGGTTTAGTTCTAATTGTGAATGGGAATTACCCAAAATGAATTCAGCACTTGCACTCCAAAAGCAGTGAAAAATTAATTGGAAGCCATCTAGATGCTGGTATACTGAATGCACCATGGACACATTGATTCTATGCACCAAACCCAGGAACCTCATCTTTTGGAACATTCAAAAGTTTAAACTTCAAAAGAACTAGGCTTCAGTGAACTTCCAAGTCTCAAAAGTTACAGCAAAAGGACTGACTTCTAGAAAGAAACCCTTTGCACATGAACGAATGGTTCACTTTCAGGTAGAGATAGGAAGTCTGAAAAAAGTAGCAACTAATTTCTTTGTCTTGAGTATCCGAAGGGTTCTTTGAGTCTCTGGACATTATGAGGTTGGGTTTGATTGTATTTGGATTGCGTTTGGATATTGTGGTCAAGATCCATCAGTAGACTTCAGTACCAGCGGAATTGGAAAGGACCACAATTCAGCCATGGTTTCCATAAAATTCTGTAACCGAGAGTGAGTACACTTAGTGAGTAGCTGGTTTCAAAGCTTAACAACCCTGCTTACCTTGTTAACCAGCTTGTCCACACAATTCATATACAATAGACTTCCTTGAAAGGAAGTTATAAAGGCCTGAAAATTTGAAACCGTCACACATTGTTTGTGTGCACAAATATCAGCCACTGTACTTCTGCTTTCATTGCATCCCCTGCTCGAAATATCACCATATACCAGGATCTTTGCTGAGTTAATACATCAAGCTTATTATCACAGCATTCTCACAAGCACAACCACCGACAGCAATGAGAAGGCAAGGCACACTTAGTTGGCCAGACATGCAATTCTTCTAAGGAAAAGCGACTTTAGAAGAGAAGGTAGAGGTAGCATTGCAAAAGCCACACACTGTACCTGGTTGCCGAGGAAAAACTACAAAAAAGAAGGTGTACACAGAAGAAGGAGTAAGAAGGGGAGAGAAAACATGGACAGAGTTAACAGCAACGCAACAGTGAAAAAAAGTTTTCGTTAACCACAAGTATCACTCACTTGAGTATTTCACATGGCTCAACAGATTAAGGCACACACTTCTGACTATTTCCCTTTCCAACTGACAGACAAATAGAAAATGCTGCACATTTCAATGAGCAGCAACAAGCAGCCTTTGTCCAGTTTGGGCCCTCTAGCATATAGTCAACGGCTCGTTTGACTCTTTACGCCAGAGCTCTCTCCTCCTTGCCAGGCCTGTCAAGGTCTTCATCTTGTCTGGGACTCAGCCAAAAGCTCATTGGTTTGGGCAAATATGAACCAGAGTTAGAGATGGCAGCTTGACAGGAGAACATTTAAAGAACTTGAAACAAAACAGACTAAAAGAACATAGAACATTTTTGAGCCTACAATGTGTTTTCAGCATTTTCTGAAACAATTTCTTCAGGGCAGGCAGAAACATAAAAGGGCACATACGTAAACAGCTCAGAAAAGCAGTAATGAAGTCACTTTTTCCTGCCCAGAACTGATCAATGGAACAGGCTGGCAACAGTGGTGACATGATGTGAATTTCCCCACTTCCTGACAAAGTTTGGTAGATTCACTTAGAGGGATGAGTCCTTCAGTAGCGGTTGTTTGTATGGCAGCTAAATAGTTAATTGCATGGCAGCTAAAGAGTAGAACTTCCGCATGAAACAGAAGTAATACAGGACGGGCAAGTTCACTCACGCCCTGCCAAGTTTCCCAAAGGTTCTTTTGCCAGAAACAAGACAGTGGAGGTGACATGCTGAGGAATCAAGCAGGGCTCCTTCTTGTGTTCAGAAAGGAAACCTACTTCTCTAAATTGTCACCACCGACCTGACCATCTGAGACTTTCCCATTCAAGCACACTCCCTGCCAATCCCCATGTGTTTTGTTCTGGAGTTGGGACTTGAAGGGACATCTAGTAGAATGTTGGAATCAGTGTTCTGGAAATTGTTATGTCACAAATGCAAACCATGAGTGCTCTCCTCCTCACCCGGTATTTGTTCTCTCCAATCTGCTCCACTTGGAACCTCTTTGCGCACTTGCATTGCGCCACTTGCCTCGTCACCTGTTCAGCAGGAAGAGAGAAGAGATGGCAGTTAATCCACTGGACTGAAGGATAGGAGACACAGAGGCTGGTCCCTAATGCTAAGGCAAAGCCTTAGGCTTCCACAGTTGTAGCGGCAGATCCATTTTCTTACCACAACCCAGTATGTCTAAGAGACCCTGACTGGCCTAAGGTCATTTCGTGAACTTCATGCTGAATGGGAATATTGGCCCAGCATACCCAAGGACTTGATTTGATGCTCTCTCCATTGTACTGTTTTGCTATTAGCATTGAAAATCCTATTCTGCTTTGGATGTCTGGCTTGGGCCAAGCCCCTCATGCCTTGTTGAAGCATTATGCCCCCACCCCTTGCTTTCCTTGTCAAAAAGGACCTTACCTCATCCTCGATTTTGTCTGCATCCGTGGTGGGCCGGTAAGCATCTTTATTAGGATGCAGAGCTGCAACAAACTCATAATAGTCGATGTAGCCATCCCCGTCCCGGTCAAAGATGTCAGCTACAGCAGTCATCTCCAACTTTGTGGTGGGGAATTCTGAAGGAGAGACAACACAGAGTTCTGAGTGGTCTGAAATGAAGATGCTAGACTAGGGTTCTGTCTAGCTCAGCAATACATCTGGCCATAAAGACTCTGGGATTCATGATTTTCCCCAACATCTTAAGACTGTGGCCACCCAGATGCTGCCCACCAATGACTTTCATGAGACGATCTGGCGGGGGTGGGGGGGGGGGGGCACTGGAGGCAGAACTAAATATGAGGAAGGGATCCCTTTTCGCCTGCAAGCTAAATAGGACATCGATACTTGCTGCTCAGCTACTGATCCAGAAGAAGAACCTCTCCAGCAAAGAATGGCAAAAATGCAGTGACAATTCAGAGCACTCACTGGATGCCAGGATCCCATCGATGAACTCCTGCCGGGTGATCTTCCCATCCTGATCTTTGTCGATGCGCCGGAAAAAGTCCATGACGCGTGACTTCTTGTGATTCATCCACCGCATGTACTTCTTCCGCCATACATCAAAGTCAAAGTTGGCAAACTCTTTCAACTGCCAGGGAGGAGAGAAATGGCACTGTTAGGTTTCACCTTAAAAGAGGCATAATGAAACAAGCATAGAAAAACTGAAGGCACAGGAAGGAGAGGCCGCATTCTCCTCCACATACTGGATTTTGCCAGTGATTTCAGAAGACAGTGAAGGCAACCTGAATGCAGGTCCCCAGAATAATTTCCTGGTCTTTTATCCGTACTTTTAAGTAGAAAGCCACCTATGAACACCTGTATTGACAGTGGGACATAAGCATCATAAAAAGGGAAGGGAGAGATGCTTTCAGTTTACATCCCACAAGAAGCAAGAGGATATAACCTCTTCCAAGACTGTCCAAACATTGCTTTGGGAGGAAGAGAGCTGATATGCAAAAATAAAATAAAATAATAATTTTAAAAAGCCTCCAGTTTGATTGTTTCCACTTGACTAAAATTTGGGAGCTTTTACTCCTACAGGCCTTTCTTGCAAGACCAAGAATGAGAAAATGATTTGACAGTTCGAACTGCACAGAAGGCAAGAGCCCTTTCCTGCTCCAGTCCCATCCTAAGAAGTGGTCCTGAAAAGTCACCCATGATCCTCTACTTGAAGCACTCCCTTAAAAGGGAAGAAATGACCACAGACAAGAAAACTTGAGGGGGGGGGGGGGGACAACTGGCACTTGAAACAGGTCAGGTAACAGTTAATGCTGCCAGGTTTCCTTGGAGATTGCTGGAATGTTTCACCTTGCCTGCATCCCACCTGCTTTTGTCCCTTCCAGCTTGCTTCCTGTAGTATGCAAAGGCTTCCTCGGTGCATGTGTCAAAGGCTTAAGCCGGAGGTGTCACTGTGTGGGATAGGAATGGTTACCTCTTCCAGGCGGTCCAGGGCATCGTTGAGCTTGCGCTGCCGCTCCAGGGCCAGGAGCCAGACCTGCTGCCATCGGGCTGAGAGCTGGTTGATGCGCGGGTTCTTGGCCTCCGACTGGGAGAGAACAGGCATCAGAGGAGGCGAAGGCTGGGTTAAAGATTTTCCTGGAAATAAAGGAGAAAAGAAAAGACCCTCACAATACTTAGAGGCAATAAAGCAATCCCCTAAAGAAGAAGATCTGCCGGGGAGGCCCTCCTCTCACTTCAGCCACCGTCACAAGCATGGTTGGTGGGGACTAGGGAGAGGGCCTTCTCAGTGATGGTCCCCCGGACTTTGGAACATCCTCAGGGAGATTAAGCAAGCCCCCACATTGTCCACCTTTCATAGGGAGCTGAGAACCTGAATGTTCCAGCAGGTTTTCGAGAATGATTAGTCCCTAGGTCGTCAGTTAGTACTCTGTTCTACACTTTCTCCACTTCCCCAGTCCTATGATACGCTGTTTGCACTATCCCATGCCCAGCTCTTTTATAGTTGACCATGCCCATTTTGTAGACCTAGCTATTGGTTTTTGTTGAACCTTGTCTAATGGAGTTATAATTGCAATCGGTTTAAATTTTTATTGTTGTCTTTTAGTAGGATTTTTGTGTTTTATGGTGCTTTTATTTTAATCTGTCTGTATGATCTTCTTCTTGGCAATTGAATATTTTGCCTTATATGTTGGAAACTGCCCGAGCCCCTTCAGGGAGATAGGGCGGTACACAAATAAAGTTTTATTATTATTTATTATTAAGCTGCGCAAAGGGAGAGGGAAACATCCCTCTAGGAAGAGGGCCTTGAGGAAACACAGAAGATTAATGCTCAGGTCTCCCCCTGGCAGAGGAGAACGCAGCACAATCACGCCGGTTCATAGAAATGATCCTGCATTCACAGAAAATGCATATCCCCTCTAAGAAAGGACTCTGCCACCAAAGGGTGTTGGAACCATTAGCTTTTTCTTTGATCTCTTAACAAAGAAAGGAGAGCATAAAATGAATCATTGTAGTAATGACTGAACCACGGGGCATGTAGAAAATCACTCAGACCTAGATGTGCACCAGAGCTAGAAGATAACTGACCTTGCTCAGATCTTGGATTCTGAAAGCTAGATTCAGCCCTGGAATATACTGCAGTATACAGTATGACCTTATTGATAAAGATGGTCCATGCCTTAGTTCCATCTCGTATGGATTACTGCAATGCACTCTATGTGGGGCTGCCTCTGAAGATGGCTTGGAAGCTTCAACTACTACAAAAATCAGCAGCCAGGCTGCTGTCCGAGGTGGGTCACAGAGATCATACCAACCTCCTGAAGCAGCTCAACTAGTTGCCTATTTGCTTCCAGGCCCAATTCAAAGTGTAGGTTATTACCTATAAAGCGGTTCAGGTCCTGCCTATTTACGCAACCGCATCCCCCCCTTATGAATTTGTTTGGGACTGATGGGGACCAGGGAGAGGGCCTTCTCAGTAGTGCCCCGTTACCCCACTCTGGAATGCTCTCCTCAGGGAGATTAGACAAGCAATCACCCTTACGACATTTTTGAGGGATTTGATGACATGACTGTTTAAATAGGCTTTTGGCGATGATTAGTCAATCACTTTAATATGGACAAGGTGGCTGTTTATATGGATACGCCTCAATTCGGGTAGTAGGCTCTTTTTAAATCATAGGAATGACTGAGTTTTTGAACTAATGTTTTAGAAATTTTATTGTTAATTTTTGTTACTTGTGCTCTGTTTTTATTGTGATTATTTGTATATTGAGTTGAAATGTCCTTATTTGATTATTTTATATATCTTACTGTATTTATTCATGGTGTGAACCGCCCCGGGTCCCTTGGGGAGATGGGGTGGGATACAAATAAAATATTATTATTATTATTATTATTATTATTATTAAGATTATTAAGATGGAGTCACACCTGACCAATGCAAAGTATTATTTCTGAGAAATCACAGGCAACCAGCCTTTAGGAATTGAGGGCAATAAAATGTTATATGTCATAGTTCTCTTGGAGACTGGACCTATAACGCCTTACTTCTTTTATTATTCTCAAATCCAAAGCTAGCTAAGTCCTTGACGTACTATTGCTTCGTGATTTCTCACTGAGAGGACCATGGCTTGGCTCGGTGGCTTTCCTCTTGTATGTTTTCGTGACACGATCCACGTCCGGCTGTTTTCGCGTCATTTCTTCCATAAATGACTGGCAAATGCAATAAGAGGGAGGAAAGATAAAGAAGAAAGGAAGAAGTTACTGCTGTAGTTACAGTTGTCTTTCTGCTACATAGGGAGCTGTGGCCTATCAAATCTCATCTGGTTTTGATTTTTGGATAGCTTGAGATTCCACCAGCCATTGCTAACACAACTTTGGGCACTTTCTAGTTGCAGGGATTGGATGTGTGACTGTGTGATGGCTGAGTGTGATAGCAGGTGTGATCTGAGACACTTGGGTAGTAACAGATTAAATTTAGGTAGCCCTATTCAAGGCTTCTTAAACTGTGGGTTGGAATCCCTTAACTGGGAGTCCTGAAAGATTTCTGTAGTTTGCCACCTAGTGGTGGTTTTGGACATCTACAGAAATCCGGGGTGGGGAGACAATATAATATATTCTGCTATTTGAGGTTACTAACCAAGTGTGCCAGTATGGCATGAAAAATGTCAAAAATGCTCTACATCCTGTAATAATAAACTTAGCAATAGCAAATACTCAGCCAAGCTTTAATTCTTTATGTAAAAATAAACAAATACACCCATCTCATTAGCATGCAAATTTGTTTTCATCTTCAAAAAATGGTAAAATTATGTGTTTTATGTGTTTTAAATTCTTTTAAAATAAATTTCTTTATGATTTATTTTATCAGGAAATGTTTGATTTGTATACCTGTTTTGTATATACCTATATAACCAGGGGTTGTGAAAAAAATATTATCGGGTGAAAAGGGGTCACAAATAGAAAAGGTTTAAGAAGCCCTGCTCTAGATCCCAGGCCAGGCCAAAGGAGGAGCAGCCAAGTCACCCACAACCCTTGAAGATGCAGGGAGGCTGCAATTGCCTTTTTTCCAAATCCCTGCAAATCACCTTCCCAATTAAAAACAGAGCAAAGGAGCAGGAAGGAGAGCAACCACCTGACCCAAGTTACCTGGTGCTCTGCAATCAGGGCTTTGACTTGATCAATGTTCTGTGGCATGGGGTCCTGGTCCCGTTGGATGAGTGCCGTTTCGGCCCACTGAATCCATGCCAGGAGCTGCTCCAGCAGCTGAGCATTGGCCACCAGCTCTGACAAGGCAGCTTCCAACCGCTGCTGGTGCTGCTTGGCCCAGGCAAGGACCTGGTGAAGGAGGGAAAGGCAGCAAAAAAAACCAAAACAAAACAACACATCAAGGAGGGAGGAAGAGGCAACCAAGTAAAGCTTTCATGTTATTTTAACGTGGGCCATTTTGGGTGGGGTTGTTATGAAGATATATACAGTACAGTCTCACTTATCCAATCTTCATTCATCCAACTTTCTGTATTAACCAATGCAGTCTGTCTCCTGCCCTGAATAATGTCCAGGGTGGGAAAAGAAAGAACCTTTGTCTGTTTTGCTGCTAAATACATACTACATAATGTTACGGTGCATTGAACTGCTTTTCTGTTGATTTGTTGTAAAACATGATGTTTTGGTGCTCAGTTTGTAAAATCATAATGTAATTTGATGTTTAATAGGCTTTTCCTTAATTAATTAATTAAAAACATTTATATTCCGCCCTTCTCACCCCGAAGGGGACTCAGGGCGGAGCACAACATATATACGGCAAACATTCAATACCGGGACAAGAATTCATTGTATGCATACCTTAGTATTAACATTAATCCCTCCTTATTATCCAACATTTTCGCTTATCCAACATTCTGCTGGCCCATTTATGTTGGAAAAGCGAGACTCTACTGTAATTTTGAAGAAAATAACAGCCTCCCTCTCCAAGGCTGAAAGAGTGGGACTTGTCCAAGTCACCCAGTATGTTTCCTAGCTGAGGAGGGATTCCAATCCAGGTCTCTGGAGTCTTAGTCCAACTCAGCATTTTAGGAATGACATTGATTTCCTATATTCTTTAGCTGTGCTTCCCTGCTCAGGTGAGGGAGGAGGCATGGGGGCCTTCTCTCTCCTTTTTTTTGAATAAGCACTCTCAAGACAATTCAGAAGACAGAAAGGGCTAGAATGCAGAGCCCTTACAGAACCCACAAACTGGTCCCAATAACTTACTTCTTCAAACCGAGCCCGGATTATGGTGATCCAGTGCTTGATGGTGGTGATGCAGTCAGGGTGGCACACGGCTAGGATGACCTCTCCCATCCCCACAGCCACAGTCACATCTGATATTTTCTCCTCAACTTTCTTCATGAACTCCTGTGTTGGCAACACAAATGGATGTATTGTCATTGAGTGCCCTGTAAGGGATCCCTGAGCCAGTTCCCACAAGCCTCGTGCCTTTTGCTACCTTGGGAAGAGTGGCCTACCTTGTGCGTGTCAATGAGCGACTGCAAGGCCTCTGCATCATCCGGTAAAGCACCTCTGAAGCGAAGGGTCTGCTCAGCTTCTGAGAGCCAGTCCAGCAGCAAATGGACAGCAGTCCGGAACTCTTCCGCCTGAAAGGAGAAAACACATGTAGCCAATTCACAGCAAGGAACCACCCAAGTTGCAATGGCATCTTGGGCTACAGTGGGTCACCAATATGGCCCAAGGCAGTTTAGAGACCGGGCAAGAAAGCAACAGGAATAATTTTTCCATCCTATTGAGTCACCTTTAACCAAACAAAAATAGCAACTGGATACTTCTTCCTAAACTGCAGGATGGACCAAAGCCTCAGAAATGAGGAAGTCACCTTTCCTGCCAATGGCATATGATTATAAATGTCTCTAGTGCTACACAGCCACTCAATAAAGGCAATGTGGGATTCTATGGATGCAGAGAAGACTTCAAATTCAGATAAATTCCTTTTTTTAGAAGGAATTTGGGGGTTGGCAGGAAGGGAGAAAAAACAGTGCCTTCAATTGTTTGACTTCAACTGTGGCTGCTAAACATCGTTTGAATCAAAAGAACAGTATTTAGCAATGGCAAACCAGTCCCAGCACTTTTCTCCCTTTCCCAGCAAGAGGACTATCAGGATCCAAACTGGATCATATGAGTTTGTAAACAGGAGCTGCCTTCCCCTCCTCTCTTCTCCCCACACCTGCTTAAAGGCTTGCTCCAGCCGGATTTGCTTCAGGACAGACATCTTGCAGACAGTGTCCCAGCGGTTGCTCAGTTCCTGAAGCTGTACTTTCACCCATGTTGTATCGTCGCGGCTGTTCTCAATGAGTTCCCGGCCAGAGCGCTTCAGAACCTGGACGGTACCGGTCCGCTTTCCAAGTTCCTTCTGGAAGACCTGCCAAAAGTGGAAGGGGATGTATTGACAGATCTGCGCAAGGATCCCTGAAGTGCTTTGGCACACTGCTGGCTAACAGAGGCTGTAGCATGAACCTGTTCCCTGCATTAAAGGTTTCTTCTAAAGAAGGAAAATCTACAAGATTAAACTACAAACAATCTAGTCCAACCCATGGTTCATATGAGACTCTATAATTCAGGACTATGTCCAATTTCTGCTTAAACACTTCCAGTAAAGTAGGCCACCATCTCCTCAAGCAACCTGGTTATTGACAGAGCCCTCATGGTTAGGGTGCCTTTTCTCAAGTTCCAATTTTCAGCTATTGGTTTCCATCTTATCCTCTGGGGAAATGGAGTTAATACTATGACTAGTACAAGAGTAAAAAGTTCTATGCAATAATAAATGTGTTTAATATAGCATGTTCCATTATGCTTTGCTGTCACAAAACTTTGTTCTTGGGCTATCCATTATCTTAGCTGCTTTTCTTTGGATGTGTCCAAATTTGTCAACATCCTTCTTGGAACAGATGGGCACAGTGTGCTCCGCATGTGGTGTAGAAGAATAGTCCCAAGAGCTAGCCAAAATCTTCTTGTTAATACAGCTCAAGACAGCATTCATTATTTTTAAAAACTGTCTCATCAGACTGCTGTCTCATATTAAGAAACCTGCCGGCTTTCTCAAATGCTACACTAGGTCTTCTTCATTCTAAATTTTTCATCTTTGGCCTTTTTGTTTTTGGTCATCCAAAAGCAACACTATACAGTTATCTCTATTGAAATCTATATTCTTAGTTAGGGGCTATCTGGATCCCTTTGAACCTCCTTCTTGTCTTCCATTGTGTTGTCCCTCCCTCCCAGCTTCTGCATAATTTGCAGAATTGATAAGCAATCCTCCTTTGCATCACTGAGAAATATACTGGCTATGAACAGAGCTCTGCTGCACTTCGCTTGAGAACTTCTAGGTTTTTGCTGTTAATTAGCAAGTGTTGAATGTGACACAGTTGCAAGACTGCTTTGCTGAAATGAAGATCCCCTCAGGCCTGCCCCAGTTCTTGTCCTGCTGATGTTACCTTGTGAGCATCGATTAAGTTCATGACCAGGTCCAAGTCGCCGTGGACTGGCTGGTCTTCGGCCAACTGCGGCTCCACTTTGTACAGCCAGTCAACTAGGGCTTGCAAGGCATCCATGAACTGCCCAGAGAAGAGAAGGGCCTCTTCCAGTTTGTGCTGCCTGTCAATGGAGAAAAACAGGAGTTTAGCGGTCTCCCCTTGGTTTGCTTTCTTGTTAAACTTGAGTTTTGTTCTGGATGTGGTCAGTGCTTCATAATGAGGAACTATGGCCCTGGACTTTTGAACCCATGCTGCTAGGCCTGCTGCACAGAGCCTGCTTTGTTGCAATGGGAGGGAGATTTCTGAAAGTTTCTACCCTCAGTTCAGTAGGACCCCAACAAAGGCCCTCAGCAGTGACTTGACCACATCTGAGCCTTTGGTCTCCTTTTCCCTTGACAAATGGTAATAATCACAAAGCCCTAGCAATCTCTTACCTTTCCACAGATTTGCCACAGACGGTGTCCCATCTGTCACGGACTTCTCCAAGGAGATGGTCTAGGCTTTGCCCATCATCTGAGAACTGAGCTTTTTCTTTCAGAGCTCGCCCTGTCCGGATTGTGGTATCATAAACGGGCTGTTTCCCACCCAGAGTCTTTTGGAACTCCTAATGATTTTTTTCAGGAAAAAAAAAAACAAAACCAAAATGGAACAAACATTTAAGTTTGGGTGAAGCTGGTGTCTACAAAAAATAACACAGAAAGCTTTCTGAATGCATGCCTTAACCAACATCTGTGTTTATGGACAATTTTGGGGCCCTCTTGTAGCAGAGACTAGGCTGCCCACCTTGTGCTTAGAGAGCTGCAGTTTGATCTTGTCAGGGTCGTTTGAAATTTCCAGATCAGAATCCAAATGGTTCTCTGCATCTTCCAGCCAGTCAACCAGCTTCTTCCAAGCTTCATGAAACTACAGAGGAAGAGAGATGGGAAAGAGTACGCAAAAGCATTTTTAATCATTCAGCACCCCGTTTTGCAACATTTACTCCAATGCTCAGGTCACATCCCTTATCTGAAACACTACCTTGCTGTCCTTCCCCCTTATCATAGTTACTTATTTGCTTGTTTCATATATATAAGACAAAAAACCACAGAGTTGTCTCCCACAAGGTCTCCATGGTTTCTACCATTTGGTTGCAGCACATGGTGCACCTTCTTTTTTGACCCAATCTTTTCCTCTCCTGAATTGCTTTTCTTGTCTCTCCATTGTTCTTGAGAAATGCCCAATGATTGCTAAAGTATACAGCAAGCCCTTATATTATGATTCTTAGCTATTGGCTCACAAAATGAAGATGTCCTCAACTGGTGCAGAGATGGAGCTTCTCACCTGCTTTGCTCGCTTCCTGGCATCATCCAGAGCCCTTCCCCTTTCAACCGACCGCTGGACCACTTTCTCCCAGCGGGACTGGACGCTGACCAGGAGATTTTTGATCAAGACCACATCTTGCTTCTGACTGAGGAATTTCAGCTGGTTCCCACTCTGGTCAAGGCCAATGATCTGATCTCGGTGGGCATTCACTTCATTGGCAAACACCTGGGGACAAAAGAGAAAGCAAAGGTAGGCCCCTCCAAGTGCTCACCCTGGCTTCTTAGGCACATGAACCTCTGGTATAAACCAAGGCAGAGCTCACAGGAAGCTGCTAGAAAGATGATCTAAAAATCAAATGCTCCACCACTGGGCAAGAAACTAACAGAAGGCCTTGGGCATATGTTTCACAGTTCTCAGCCTTCATTTGCTACTTTTATCAAAAGAATTAATCCTGCCTCACCATGGAAAGAGTAAACCTACATAAGGGTATCTGATTGTGCAGGAGGAAGAGAGGTTCATGTTCTCTGTATGACCATAAGACACTACCTCGTTTCTGTCCCTTATTACAGAACCCATACCTGAATTTTTAAGATCTAAGCTGCCCTCCCATTCACTGCTACATGCCTTGGCATCATTACCTTATGGTCTTCAATTTGCGAGAGCACCATGGCGAGGATGAGGCTTGGTGGAGGGGCAACGTTCAAGCTCTGCTCTGCAAAGGTCAGCCAATTGATGAAGTCCTGCAGGGAGTTCTGGAACTCTGCAGCCAGTCTAAGGGCCTCTTCCAGCTTGGTCTGGATTCGGAATAAAGGGAAGAAGGGAGTGATGTGAAGTTAAGGAAGAAAAGGAAAGAATACTGTCCAAAGACCCATTATTCTTCCATAGATATAGTGTTCATTCTGCACTGAAACTCTTTAACTAGGGAGTGTGACTTCTTCATTAAGAGCCAACACTCAAATGCCCTGCTGAGCCAAGGAAGAAAGGGGCTCCCTGGACAGTTTCAAAAGCAAGGGAAGCGTTCCTCTCAACTTTGTGGCCCTGTGTCTCTGTTCCACTGATGCTCTGGAGTGGGGCTTAGACATTTCTTGTCATGGAAGAGAAGGGGAAGCCCTTGGCATAACAAATATACACTAGGTGAACACATTACTCCGTCACGCTACCTTTCTTTCCTCCATCTTGCTGCTCACGATGTTCCACTTCTGCTCCAGGAGAGCCACGCTCTGCTCCGTCTTGGATCCAGAACCACAGTCATCACGGCCCAGCAGCATAAACCTCCCTTTGTCCAGGAGCTGGCCAAAGACCGTCTCGTTGGCTTTGAACTGGGCATAGAGTTCCTGTGAGACAACAGAGGAAGTTTACACAGCTGTGCATGGCAGGATGGAAGGTGGGTTCATGGAATTAGATTTCCCCTTCTAATTTCTTGTGTGCTACAGGACCAGTGTGGTGTTGTGGTTGAGTATCAATCTATAACCGGATTGAGGCCAGCACTTCAGTCTTTGCTTAGCCCCATGGAAACCCACTGGCTGGGTCACATTCTCTCAGCCCAAAAAGAAAGCAATGGCAGCCTTTCCAGTCAACCTTGTCACAAAAACTCTAGGACAGGGTTGGAATTGACTTGATGTATGTGGATATGGTGACCTTCCATACTGAACTGGGAGTAACCTCTTCATTTGCCCTGAGGACTAGTTCAGCAGCCAGGACTCACCATATGTGCATTCAGTTGTTCCCGGGCTGTCTCCGGTAGCCCTCCTGTGGGTTTAGAGGCCGACAGCTGGTTTTCCATTCTCGTCAGCCATTGAAGGAAGTCGTCAATTTCACCATGGAAACCTTGAGCCTACAAAGTCGTGCAAAAAGCACACTGTCAACCAAGTGGGATGTGCAAGAATCACTGACAAGTTTAATTTTAGGATCTCTGCCTCCCCCCACCCCCCTTGAGATCAGGCGAGGATTTCAAAACCAAAAGGACAGAATTTCAATGTAGCAAGTCAGGAAAGCAGCGAATTGGGGTTGGGATTGGGACTAGAAACCATTCTTAAAATGGGAATGACCCAATTCATCAGGATGGGACCCATTTTTGTCCCTGCCTTTTTACAGTAGAACGCATGGATCAGCTAGAGCGAGTGTAGGAGTAATGGGGAGCAAATGCCTCAAATGCTGTTATTTCTAATGCTTTCTGGACAAATAGAAACACGCCCCTCTTCTCCCCACTCAGGACCACCTACTTGCTGCAGGGTCATTTGAAGCTGCTGTTCACGCTCCTCTGTCTTACACAGCACCGTCTCCCAGCAGAGTACCATTGCATCGAGCCGGTCCCGGAGTTTGCTGGCGTCATCCCCAGCGGTGGATTGCAGGAGTTCATCTCCGGCTTTGTTCACCGTTTCCACAGTGGCCTGATGTGCCAGCACATCGTTCTTCAGCACCTAGTGAGGTTTTGGAGTGGAGAGAGAAGGGAAATGATGCTTCAGAACTCATGTGGTGCTCACGAAGAAGGAAACAACTCCTGCCAGTCTACATGGCGGAGACTTCGTAAGCATGCCGAGAATAGGAACCAACTTTTCAAAGGACCCACTTTGGCACAGAAATTCAAACTCTCATCTCCAAATTCAAAGCACATGGGAAAATGCAGTATGATAACCCTGTTCACACATAGATAAACATGGGCCAATGAAGAGCCTCACTGGCTCCCTCGCCCAAGTGGCCCTCCTGCATCATCGACTGAATGTTCTCTCAAAATACTCTCACCCATTCCTTCATGCCAGCTTGACTCTGATATTGTCAGAGTGTCTCTTGGGACAGAAGAGCCCTTAGGAATGGGGTCTGGGGGGAGAACTGGCATCTGAGTGGCCTAGTAACCACTGGGAGCCAAGGAGCACCCTTAGTAAAACCACTGGCTTAGGTTGCATATCTTCCCTGAGTGGCACCATCTCTCCGAGACTTCAAGGCAACGAGATTTCTCACCCGAGATGCTCGGAGGTGTAAGAAGTGAATTCAGTGTTTGATCCCCTCAGTCATGCTTCCTTCCTGGCCACATCTATGCAGACTGACACTTTAACTTTGGCTACTTACATGGTGCTTAGCTAACTCCACTTCAATGACCTTGGGGTCGCCTTTGATGGGCTTCTGGGCATCCAGCAGCTGCTCCGTGTGGGTCAGCCATGCCATCAGCTCGGCCAAGGCATGCTGGAACTGGCCAAGGGCCAAGAGAGCGCCTTCCAGCTTGTGCTGTGTTTTGGGAAAACAAATGGAGCAAGAAGAGGGAGTTTGAGAAAGGAAGGCCATTATGGTCAGAGGTAGATGTGTCTTTGCAGGGCTTCTTATTTAATTTATATTTAAGACCTCATTATAGGTTCTCAGAATCAGAATGGCTTGCAAACAATACTCAAAAGCCCACTGAAATCCAAAGGGGAAACTGAAAAACCAAATAGAAAGGCAGCCAAATAGTGGCCTACAAGAGAGACAATAATAAGGCCACTGTAAAGAACCAGGGAGTGCCACAGTTTGGAGGTTGACACAGAAAAGGCAGTTTCCTCTGCAGACAAGGAAATCCCACAGTTGTACAAGAGGCAGCAAGCTGTTTCTAAACCATTTGGGGGCTTAGAAGAGGTTTTCCAATAATAGAAATAATGGCCTTTAAAGGTAGCCTTTAGACTCATTGAGTTGTCCGCACCTGCCGATCGGCAATTTTGTCACCCAGGTTTTCCCAGAGATGCTTTAGCTCTGTCAATGGCCGCCTGATGATATCTCTGTCTGTCTCGTCTGCTGCCTTTTTCAGCATGATTTCCCCCTGGTGATTCAGCTTCTCCATCTCAATTTGCTGCTGGTACACTTCTGTTTTAAATTCCTGCCAACAAAAACAAAACAAAGCAAAAACCAGGGTCAGATCCATGGATGTTCTTCTGCCCCAAGACCCAGAGACACTGTTGCTGGCATCTACATGGTGAAAATTTCTGCACACATAGACACGCATCCCTACCTTCATCTCCTTCAGCTGCTCTTTGACGGTGTTGAGGTCGGTGCCCACCGGAGGCATGTTGCACAGTTTGATCACGGTGTTGTCCAGCCAGTCAAACATGGCCTGAGAAAGGGAAACACCCATGATGGAGGAACCACCCAGCTAACCAACCATCAAGGTGGCCCAGCATCTGTAAAGCTTGTGGGCATGTCAGGACAATGACATTTCTCCTCACCCGCCTATGTTTTGGGCAGAACTGTGTGCAAAGCACTCTTGTGGGAGAAACTTACCCTGCATCACTGTTTTCAATAATAAAATCCTGGCTATTCCTAGAGTCATCCTATTTTGATAAGACCATAGAGGCCCTTCAACAATCCTGGATCCTGCTGTTCTCTAAGAATTACGTGTATTTAATCAAGCATAATGTGCTATCAATTGTAATTCCCTAATTACCCAAGTATAAAGTGCCGTCAAACATAATTAGCATATTTACTTGAGTATAATGTGCTATAAATTTTGAAGGTGTGCATTACAAATAAAGATTTGCTGTCAAATGTAATGCGAGGTGGTGGTGACTGCGAAAAGGTTGGTGGAAAGCAGAGATAGAAGAGAGATATTGACAAGCTGGGATGTGTCCAGAGGAGGGCGACTAAAATGATGAAGGGTCTGGAGAACAAGAGCTATGAGCAGCGGCTTAAAGAGCTGGGCATGTTTAGCCTGAGAAGAGAAGGCTGAGAGGAGACATGATGAGGGCGATGTATAAATATATGAGAGGAAGTCATAGGGAGGACGGAGCAAGCTTGTTTTCTGCTTCCCTGGAGACTACGACGCAATGGAACAATGGCTTCAAACTACAAGAAAGGAGATTCCATCTGAACATTAGGAAGAACTGTGAGAGCCGTTCAGCAGTGGAACTCTCTGCCCCAGAGTGTGGTAGAGGCTCCTTCTTTGGAAGTTTTTAAACAGAGGCTGGATGGCCATCTGTCGGGGGTGCTTTGAATGCAATTTTCCTGCTTCTTGGCAGAAAGGGGCTGGACTGGATGGCCCATGAGGTCTCTTCCAACTCTATGATTCTATGATTTTAAGCAGCTCTCCTCTCCCACCAGCCTATTCGCAGCCACCATAAGCTTTCCACCACTCTTTTCATGGACACTGCTACCTCCTCCATGCCTAGCTGGGATGACCTCTTGCCCAACAATGCAGGCCAGTTTAGGTGCGTGATGCTAATGCACCGCTGAATCTAATGTTCACTTCAATTTTAGCAATACAATTTAGCCCAAAAACGTGACTCAAGTAAATATGGGTAGTCTATCTCAACTGTTTTCTGAGGGTTCATACAATGCCTGTCATTCAAAACATCCAGAAACAATTGAAGCTGTAAGCCAACAGGAGGCACAGGCTTCTCTGCCTGTGCTCGTTTGCCACTGCCCCTTTCTTATGGCCCCATGTCACCCCACTCCCCACCCCCGTTTCAGACCAATGCCGCACCTGCAGCGTGTCCTGATACAGCACCGCTGACTGCATGGCCTCCTCCAGCCGTTCCAGGCGCTCCTTCCAGGTCTTGTTCAGGTTCTCCCAGGCGCTGTTCATCTGCAGAGCAACAAAGAAACAAATCAGCAGATGGTGCCAGTTGGAGAATCAACTGGGAACAAATGTGAGCAAAGTGGGACATGGAAGGGCAGCCATAAAACCCATTGGACAGACCTGCTTGGATAAGTGACACTTTTGGGGTCATCCGTAGTAATGTAAACTCCCCTTCCATCCCCAAGACCCCCAAAACTCTCCCAAACACCTTAAAAGTAGCATTTTTGTAGGAAATGAAAGGATGCTCCCTGGACCAGAGGATGAGCCTTGTCACATTGCTATGCATAGGTGCTAATGCTGGCTCCCAAATCAAACCACAGCTTTTTATAATTATTTTCACCAAATATATTGTAACTTTTTAACATGCTTAACATCGAATAATGTCTTTAGTTTGTATTGTGTTGTTGTTCAGAACCTGGAATTGCTTTAATCTGAAAGTTCAAAGTACCCTGAGATTCTCTTCTATTAGGAGAGATATAAGTGTTTTAATTAAATGGATGATTTTGTTCATTCAGATCAATGCCCCCCCACCCCCCAAGAATATCTCTGACTTCTTGCCTTAATGTATTTAGGTACCAAGTTGAATTCAATTTTCCTCCCCAGTGACCCACCTCATCAATGCTTTTCTTTACTTCAGGTTTCTCCGTCTCACCACAGGCAAAAATAAGGTCAGTCCCAAGGATCCGGATGAACTCCAGTTCTTCGTGCAAACTGTCTGTTTCTGCCTTGATTGTCTGTAGGGAAAGTCAGAGAGAGAAACATAAAAACCTTTGCTATAACAATATTCAGGTTCAGACAGACATTTGCAAGGATTACTGGGCAATGCCAAAGGATAGAACCTCTCTATTTTGAATCTTCTCATTTTGAGTGTTTGTTTTCAAACTTAGGTAGCTGTAGTCCACTCCAACAAACTACAACACTAAAAATCTCTGGCAGAGAAGTCTAACCCCTCACTGAATGTTAAATATACAAATGGAAACAAGGCACTGAAGAGTGGTATCAAACCACTATAACAGTGAGATGCAGATACACTAAAAAATCATCATGCTAACATAAGTTACAAAGTTAGAATTACTCTACTCTTACCCAATGTATTGAGTAGCAGCAGCTTCTTTTAAAAATAGAAACTTTTTAAAAGGCGCAAGATAGCACTGGGCTCTTTGAAGCAGCTCCTTCCTTTCACCTATAGCAGAAATAGCTTTCTTTCTGATTCTTACCTCTGCGGCTTCAATCTGCTGTTTGATGATGGATGGGTCAATGCCAGGGCTCTCCAGGTCATGGACGATGTCCTGCGTATCTCGGATGGTGGTCAAAAGGGCGGCCATGTCATACCAAAACTTCTCGGCCAGTTCCAGGACATCAAGGAATTTGATCTCCCGTTCCTCTGCCCGAGCTCTGATGTCTTCCCAGAAGAACACCATCTTATCGAGCTTATCCTGGATTTCTGAAATGAAAGGAAGTGGGTTTTAAAAACAATGGTGACAAGTAAGGGCCCTTCCTAACAGGCCCTATATCTCAGGTTTTCTGCTTTAAACAGGATTATATGTGTCTGCGTTGCCAGATAATCTGGGATAAACAGAAAAGCTTGGATCAGATCCTGGGCTATAGGGCCTGTTTGGAAAGGCCTTTAGTTGAACCACAGAATAAGTTTCTTTCTCAAAACTACCAGGTCAAGAATGATATTGACAAGCTAGAACACATGCCAAAAGGATCAAAGATTTGGAAATTATGAAATCTCAATGAGGAGGAGCTGAGGGAGCTGGGGATGTTTAAATATCGGAAAGTAGGTCCCATGTAACAACACACTGGTTCAAGATTGGGAAAGGTGTATGGCAGGGTTGTATACTCTCACCCAATTATTCAACTTGTATGCAGAACACATCATGCGATGTGCGGGACTTGATGAATGCAAGGCTGGAATGAAAATTGCTGGAAGAAACATTAAAACCTTAGATATACAGATGATAGCACTTTGATAGCCGAAAGAGAGGAGGAACGGAGAAGCCTTCTAATCAAGGTGAAAGAAGAAAGTGCAAAAGCTGGGTTGCAGTTAAACATAAAAAGCCCCCAATATTATGGCAACAAGACTGATTGATAACTGGCAAATAGAGGGAGAAAACGTGGAGGCTGTGACAGACTTTGTATTTCTAGGCGCAAAGATTACTGCAGACGCAGACTGCAGCCAGGAAATCAGAAGATGCTTACTTCTTGGGAGGAGAGTAATGACCAACCTCGATAAAATAGTGAAGAGTAGAGACATCACACTGGCAAGGAAGATCCGCATAATTAAAACAATGGTATTCCCTGTAGTAACTTACGGATGTGAGAGCTGGACCATAGGGAAGGCTGAGCGAAGGAAGATAGATGCTTTTGAACTGTGGTGTTGGAGGAAAGTTCAGAGAGTGCCTTGGACTGCGAGAAGATCCAGCCAGTCCATTTTTCAGGAAATAAAGCCTGACTGCTCATTGGAGGGAAGGATATTAGAGGCAAAGATGAAGACAGGAAAGCTCAGAGAAGACAATGATGCTGGGGGAAAAGGAAGGAAAAAGGAAGAGGGGCCGACCAAGGGCAAGATGAATGGATGGTATCCTTGAAGTGACTGGCTTGACCTTGAAGGAGCTGGGGGTGGTGACGGCTGACAGGGAGCTCTGGCGTGGGCTGGTCCATGAGGTCACGAAGAGTCGGAAGCGACTGAACGAATAAACAACAACAACAAAGGTTTCATTGAGGAGGGGTGAAGCTTGTCTTCTGCTGCTCCAGAGACCAGGACACAATGGAGACATGGATTTAAATGGCAGGCAAAGAGATTCCACCTAAATACTAGAAAGAACTTCCTGATGGTAAGAGCTGTTTGGCAATGGATTATAGACTGCCTTGGATTCTAATAGAGTCGTCTCTGGAGGTTTTTAAGCAGAGGCTGGATAGCCATCTGATGGATCGGCTTGGATTGTGTCTTCCTTTATGGCAGAAGAGGGTTGAACTGGATGTCCCTTGGGGTCTCTTCCATCTCTAAAATTCTATGATTGATTGAGTCAATCAACATGTGTTCCTGCACAGCAAAGGGTTGGGCTGAATGACCCTTGGGATTCCCTTCCAACTCTAATGAAATATAGACTGTCTGGGAGTCGTGTAGAGGCTCCTCCTCTGGATGTTTTGAAGAAGAGACTGAATGGCCATCTGTCAGGAGAGCTTGGATTGTGTCTTCCTTTATGGCAGAAAGGGGTTGGACTGGATAGCACGTGTGGTTCCTCCTAGCTCTGTGGTTCTATGATTCTAAGAAAGACTCAATTCAGAATATGTAACATCTTTGACTCCAGGAAACACATGGGAATCTTCTCCATAATGCAATGACGGAGTGAGCAGGTGACCGTTTCATCTTGGTTCGGGGCAAGCCAGGTGTGCCTTCCTCTTACCTTTGGCTGCCGGATCCTTGTCTGTCCCTTGTGACCGCCCAACCAGCTCTTCTCCACGCCGTTTCAGAGCCTGGAAGGATGGCTGGAGCTTCTCTAGCTCCATCGTAGCATTCTTGTTTTCACTGATGCACTCCCGAATCTTTTCGACCTCGGCTGGAATCAGTGGAGGCATGCGCAACCGGGAGGATAGGCTCTCCAGCGTCTCCAGCATGGGCTCAATCTTGTCATGGAACTAAACAGAAGAAGGAAGGGTAAATGGAGGTACAAGGGGGATCCCATTTTGCTGCACTACTGGGGAATAGCAGGTTTTAACTTTTTTCTAACCAACAGGTTCTCCTAGAATTCAGATTCTTGCCTACTTTTTGTAACACAGGTTTAGAGACAGATCGCTTTCACTCTGGAGCAGCTTGTCTGAAAATGTCTTTGACCAATAAAAGAAATATCCACACAGATTTAACCAACAATTAACAGAGGAAGACTGCCTCAAACGCTTATCCACACAGATGTCACTTTGGCAGGCAGGTGGGTGGCTTCCTTGGTTTCTCTCTCAGTGAGGCATTCAGAAAATTTCCCCGGAAGGTATTTAACATCATACTGACACATCGCCCCCAAAACCAACTTCAGCATGAATAATTAAGGCATGGATTATTTCTATAAAAAACCCAATACTGCAGCCATTTTAGTCATCCTTAACGGAAGTCTAACAGAATCCAAACTTCCTTCCAGGAAAACAAGCAAATGATCCTCATGTATCACTGAAAGAAAAATGTCCCAAGGCTTTGTTGACAGAAGTCTGGATTATGAGCTCTGAGCCAGAAAAAACCCTGATTCCAATCTCTTCAATCTGCCCTCTACTCTGACCGTCCTTCCAATTGCTATGCTTCACAAGAAAAGCTGTTCTAAGGACCACTCAAATATCTGTTGGGTGAAATGCTTTGAACCTTGTGCAAAAACCCACCATCCCATGCATGAAATGATAATACATGTCGAGACATAAATGGCTGCTGGTCAAGGAAAAGAAATCCAAATCTATCAACAGTGCAACCACTCACATTGATCCTCCGTAATGTGTATCTGACCAATATGGAGCCGATGCTGTGAACAGTGGGACTTCTTTTTAAGCATTTCCTCCCTCTCTGCCTGCTTTGTTCCCGCCCTATTGCCTCTGAAATTTTGCTTGGTTCCCAAAACAACCTTTGACACAAGGCCCAGAATGCAAGGTGCTGCCTGAGCATCAGGAGCCCAAGCCATACCCAAGAGGGTTTCGCTTATTCCTGAGATTCTGGCCACTAACTCTGTCTTATTCTTCCCTCCCAAACCAGCTCACAGAGAGGTTATTTTGGATGTGTTTCAAGGGGATGGGTGTGTGGGGGCGAAGGCAAGGGAACACATTATGCGCACATCTTTTGGGAGAGAAAAAAGAACACACAAAGAGAGAGGGTGGGGAGATCCACCTACGGATCTGCAGCCCTTCTCCTTCAGCTGAAGCAATAGCTGAAGCACACAACGCCCAGAACAAAACGTGTACGTTTCTTCTTCCTCTTCACAAAATCTTATAATTATACAAATAAAAATGTAATGTTCGTTTGTGGGATTAACATAACTCAAAAACCACTGGATGAAATGACACGAAATTTGGACACAGCACCCCCAACAGACCATCACTCATAACCCTCCCAAAAGAAAAAAAACAGCACCCCCCAACAGACAATTTGGACACAGCACCCCCAACAGACCATCACTCATAACCCCCCCTCCCAAAAAGAAAAAAAACAGTGGAAAGGACTTAAAAACTCCCAAAAGCTAAATGACGAAAAGCTAAATGACATACAGAAAAAAAGGGAAAGAAGAGGGAGGGAAGGAAGGGGAAAAAGAAAGAGAGAAGGAAGCATGGAAGCAAAGAGTGAAGGAAGTTAGGAAAGAGGTAGAGAAGGAAGAAAGGAGAGAAAGAGGATGGAAATGGGTAGAGAAAGAAGGAAGGAGAGAAGGAAAGAGGGAGCGAAGGAAGATGAGAAAGAGGGAGGGAAGGAAAGACAAGGAAGGATGGAAGCAAAAAGCTAAGGAAGGAAGGAAAGAGGTAGAGAAGGAAAGAAAGGAAAAGAAAAGAGGGGAAGGAAAGAAAGAGAAGGAAGGAAGGAGAGAAGGAAAGCAAGAAAAGGAAAGAGGGAGCGAAGGAAGGAGGGAAAGGGAGGGAACGAAAGACAGAAGGAAGGATGGAAGCAAAAAACGAAGGAAGGAAGGAAGGAAAGAGGCAGAGAAGGAAGAAAGGAGAGAATGGGAAGGAAAAGAAAAAGGAAGGAAAGGTAGAGAAGGAAGGAAGAAGGAAAGAAGAAAAAGGGGAGGAAGGAAGGAAAGAGGGAGCGAAAGAAGGAGGGAAAGGAGAGGAAGGGAAGGTTGGCCACAGCAACGCATGGAGGGAACAGCTAGTCAGTAATATTTGTGTCCATCTCCCAAGTCAAGGAGAGACAGAATAACTATCTCTCATTGGGGCAACTGGTTGCTTTGGGGGGCATTTCCCAAAGAATCTGCACTTAGGTGTTTCAGTGCTATCCAGTCTTTTCAGCTTCCAAAACCTGAGGGTAATCCAAAGTCCCAAGAAAATAGAGAGTTTTGCTACATGTTATACCCATGTCTAGCAGGGTGAGATTTTATGGATGAAAGCAGTGCTGCTCAAAGTGGTGGCTCAAGACTTCATTTTCCTCCCTGCAAGAAACCAACCAGGCTACCCTTTGAAAACTCTAGCAACATAACTCCCAAAGAAGAGAAGGCCAATGCTTGTTTGTAGGAAGGTAGTCATGAGAGATGGAGTGTCTTACCTCTGAGATCTGTCATGGTTGGGATGCAGTCAACACAATAATGAAATGTGGACAGCAGGCAGGGAGAATGGGACCGGGCCCCGAACACAGACAACAGAGGAGACAATGGGAGGTTTGATGAGACGGGAGGTGGAGGAGGGAAAACTCAGTTAATATGAATGCAAACCATGAGGGGAATACATGATTAGATTACACAATATTATGAATACCATGAATGAATGTGACACAAAACAAAACCTAGGCTAAGGAAACAACATGAACAACAGTTAACACTAAATTGACTAATTTCCAAAAAACATGCAAGACAACTGCATTGTGAAGAGGGCATTCACTATTTGCTTGGATTCAGAACTAGGCTTGTTTGATTTAAAAAAATGGTCCAAAACTTGTTTCGGATGTAGGGGGTGCTGGTGGTTCGATTCTAAAGTCAATTTCGATTTTCACAGAAAAAAAACATGTTCAAAACTTTTTGAAACTTCTGAGACTTCCGAATCCTTCCTTAATGGTTTGAAAGTGTTATTTCCTGTTTCATTGGGTAGTCTTTACTTTGAAAGTAGTTGTTTTACTCCAGAAATGGGGGGAGGGGAGGGGGAAAGCAAAAGGAGGAAATTAATCCACTCTGGTTTAAAATGGCTTCCCAGGCTTGAGCTGAGGCCAGGGACCAGAGGCGGGGAAACTCTGAATAATTTCTGACTTACTGCTTTGTAACAGAAATGGCGGAAAAAGCTTCGGAAGAGCAAAGGGACTTCCCAGGATCGAGACAAAAGCAAGGGGAGAGGAGAGGGAGGAAATTAATTCACTCTGGTTTGAAACGTTTCCCAGGCTCGAGACAGAAGTGAGAGGACAGGAGAGGGAGGAAATTCATCCACTCTGGTTTAAAATGCTTCCCAGGCTCCAGACAGAAGTGAGGGGAGAGGAAAGGGAGGAAATTCATCCACTCTGGTTTAAAACGCTTTCCAGGCTCGAGACAGAAGGGAGGGGAGAGGAGAAGGAGGAAATTCATCCACTCTGGTTTAAAATGGCTTCCCAGGCTTGAGCTGAGGCCAGGGACCAGAGGCGGGGAAACACTGAATAATTTCTGACTCACTTACTGCTTTGTAACAGAAATGGTGGAAAAAGCTTCAGAAGAGCAAAGGGACTTCCGGTTTCCTTAAAAAAGTAAATCTTTCCGAATTTATTCCGAATTACGAAGATTCCGACTGAACCTAACCATGCCTATTTAGAACTACATTTAAAATTAAACATATAAGAGAGGGAAAGCGTATATCAATTAAAAATCAAAATCTCCCCTTGGCTACCTCTCCTAGACATTTTTTTTCTGACATTGCATGTAATATCTCCTTGCTTTGACCTTAGGCCACAAGCTCGGTTCCCAGCTAGAAAGAAACGAACCTCACTTCCATGGCACCTTCAACTCTTCCATACACACTCCATGTGTTTCTCATCCAAGGAGTTGCAAGTTCCCTCACTGTAGTAGGAGGCCCTAGCTGCTTTTCAGAGTAATCAGCAACTGGAGTAAATCTAACATGCTTTAAAGATAGTGTGGTCTCACTGAGCTGAGCTGATTTTAAGGAAGATGCTCCCCTTCTTAGCCCCTTCCCACAACCATGTGATGCACTAAACCCTCTGGTAGGTGGGCCCCGGAATCTGGGCAAGCAAAGCCAAGGGCTGACAAACCTGGGTCGACTGGGAGACGGCCTCGTCCAAGGCCAGGGCTCGCTGCCTGACCTCCTCCTTGATGCGCGCATAGGTGGCTTCAGCAGCCTGGTACTTCTCCTGCACCATCTCCCCTTCCTCAGGGTTCAGCTCCTTCAGCTGGGGCCCAATCTTCAGCAGCTTGTCAATATGAGGTTTGTGCTCAGCGATGGATTCCCGCAGTTGCTGCAAATAACAGTCCCGAGAAGAGCTCAAAATCAATATCCCCTTTTTCTGCCTGCCTTGTGATCCTGTGACCCCTGAAGCTTACAAAGGAAATGACCAGACTCAGCAAAATGCTTTCTGGCTTCAGAAGCTGAAGCAAAGTAAAGAAAGCAATGGCATGCTACGAAATGCGGACATTGCACTGACAACCTCAGGCATTGATGAACTAGGCCCTCTTAAGATAAAGCATGAGGACACAATATGGACTTTCAAAATCTGCATCAACTATTTTAACATGATCAACAACAACTCTGAAACTCAACCACCAATGTGAGCAACAACATGAGGCTGATGCTCTGTTTCCTCATTACCACCACATAGAGATATATTGGGGAACCATAGAATCCTAGAGTTGGAAGAGACCCCAAGGGCCATCCAGTCCAACCCTTTCTTCCAGGCAGAAAAAGCACAATCAAAGGACCCCCTGACAGATGGCCATACAGCCTCTGCTTAAAAGCCTCCAAACAAAGAGACTCTAATAGACTCCGAGGCAACATATTCCTCTGCTGAAAAGCTCTGTCTGGAAGTTCTTCCTAATGTTCCAGTGGAAATTTGGGATCTTGTCAAATTAGCTCCACAGTATGAAACTATCACTGCTCAATCTATCTCTAGTTCCTTTCCTCTTCAAGTTCTCCAACCACCTTGATAGATTATGCTTCCTCACTTTCCTTCTGGTCCATTCCACAGGATATGCTTACGGTGTGCCCTCTGCCAACTTGCAGACCAGTCCTTTCCTCCAGGCACTTGCCCTGGTTTTCCCCCTCCAGCACAAGAGCGCTTCCCAAGGAAACAAGCATTTTTACTGGGAGCTGGTGTGGAACCTAAACCACACCCCACAAAGACACTGGGGAGAGCCCCTTCCTTCCCAGGGCCTCCACTTACCCTCATGTCCTCCTGCTGCTGCTTGAGGTGCTCATAGTCAATGGCTGGTGGAGGCAGCTGCCCGATCAGCGTCTGTGTCTCCTCCAGCCAAGGGCTAAGCTCCTCATGGGTCTCCCAGAACTGGTTGACTAAGACCTGGGCCCGCTCCAGGCGTGCATAGCGCTCTGAGTTGAGGTGGCTGATGTCATCGTACTGCTGCAGAAGGGATTCAGTTTTCTCCTGGAAGAAAAGTTTAGGGTAAAGAGTGAAGAGAGTTGCCAAGGCCTACAGAGCAAGCACTATATTCCCTAAGCATTACACTCAGCCTCCAAGGATATCTTTGGATATCCCTTTTGACAGTGATCTGTCTTAGAAACCTACAGGACTGAGGAATCACCTTTTAATAAGGTCACTGCCCCCCTTGCTCCGGTTAACATTAAAATGCCATTTATGTCAAGATCAAAGAAACAGGCACTCCTCTCTTCTATTTTTGGGCAGACCATTTGGCCCAATAAATCCGATAGGCAAAAATCTGGCTCCCATATCCACTGTATTTGTCTCCCTAATGAATTTTCTTCATCCTGTGTAAATTTTCCTCTTTGTTTGAATACATTCCATTCAGTTTTCTCTTTATGTGCACACTATAAACATTCTTCAGGAAACTGAACAAGGAGATGAGAAATCTGGCTCTTATAAATAATGAACTCTTGCTCGAGTTGTGTCTACATTTGGGCTAACTATATTCATCTATCAAGGCATAACTCCCAAGCTGACCCTTTGTTTTCTCTGGTTTAAAAATCATTATGGGCCTGGAGGCCTGGCATTACCTGCAGAATGGCTTTCTGCTCCTTTCCACAAGTCCCAAAGATATCATCCCTCTGGCTGAGCAGTTCATCCACAGAATCCTTGTGCCGAATGATGTCAATTGAGAAAGCCTGCAAAGTTGAAGGTACAAAAGAGAAAGCAGATCTTTTTTAAAATATGAAAAGCGACAATGCACAGTGCTCTTTTTTTGGCAATGTAATTTGGGAGGCAAAACATTGGCAGACATCCTTCCACTGCCCTTGTGCCTGCTGCTGCGTACCTTTTGCACTTGCAGCTGTGCAGTGGTGTGCTCCTGCTCCAAGCGCACCGGACCCAGCGCCATCAGCTTTCGTTTCGTCTCTGCAACCCAGGCGAGTTCTGCATCAGCTGCTTGTTCGTACTAACATCAGACAGGAATGAAGAGAAGAATTCAATCAGCAAAATGGGACTGGGGAAAGTCACTGCACTTCCTTCGACATGCAATTGCTATGGTCGCTGTGGAGTAACCACAAGACTACAAGCATTAAAGCCAGATGTGGACAAGTTTGACCACTCCTTCAAGCCAAAACTCACTAAGAACCACAGACCACAAAAGCGAGAAATTTGCTTCTCAGTTTTGAGTCCAATTTAATAAGGGACACCCTTATTAAAAGATGGGATATGTTTCCTGGAAACTTCCAGAATCATGATTCTTCCTTTGTAAATAAATAAATAAATGACAATAATAAAGCAAGGAATGTAGGGGTTTATAGAACCAGAGAGGGAAACACATGCTGCCTGCTTGTGCACTAGCCGAAGAACAACAGGCCTCTGTGCAAACCTCTTAATCTCAGCAGAAGAAAGAGGTCTGGGGAAATTTGATTGGATGAAAAATAAGCAAACCGAGTACCAAGTTTCCCTGGGTTGCACAACCATTTTTTTCCGTGCCAGGAGCAGCTTGAGAAATTGCAAGTCACTTCGGGTGTGAGAGAATTGGCTGTCTGCATCTTATGATCCAGCCATTATTTTAAGCGGGTCAGTATCCAACCCACTGAAGACCTTTTCTCTCCTCATGGTTCCAGGCTGAACTTTGGCAGACCTTGAAAACATAATTTTGGTTCCTCAGCACTAGAATCATCAAGGTTTTGAGAATCTTGAGTTCTGAGCAGTGATGGAAAATATCCAGGAACCCCAAAAATACTGCAGATATTTAAATGAAAAACTGATACATTTGTTACCAGTATGACATGCCTTTTCTGCACCACGGCCCTCTCATCCAAGGGAAGAACTGAGGTCCCACATCTCTTTCACAATGACTCACCTGTTGGGATCTCTGTATGGCGGCATCGATCTCGTCCACTCTTTGCTTGATGGTGTCACTGATCTGCTTGTAACGCTCGTTGGTGTCCGAGACAGTCTTCTCCAGGCTTCCCCGTGCTCGCCAGGGCACCAGCTCTGAGAGCGCACGGCTCACTTCATTGACTGTGTCCAGGACCAGCCTGCGCTCCATCACCTGCTTTTTCAGGTCCTGAAATTTAAAGGGGAAAATTGTCCAGCTCCCCTCTGTGACTGTGAATCCCCTTTTGTCCCTAGGGCTAGACGTGATGAAGTAGTCTATCCAAGTACTAGCCAGGGCTGACCCTGCTTAGCTTCCAAGATCAGATGGGATCTGGTGCCTGAGAAGACCACAATTCAAAATTGGTATGGACACGACGGAAGGTGACCAGAGAAGGGACACCAAAAGGGTTAAAAATCTGGAAACTATGAATCCCTCTGAGGAGTGGCTAAGGGAGCTGGGGATGTTTAGCTTTGAGACGAGGAATCTGAGAGGCGGGGATGTGAAAGTCATGTTTAAATATCTGAAAGGATGTCTCACTGAGGAGGGGGAAAGCTTGTTCTCTGCTGCTCCTGTGATTGGGATGCAATGGAGCAATGGGTTCATATGGCAAGCAAAGAGATTCTACATAAACATTAGGAAGAAAATCATGAGGGTAAAAGCTGTTCAAATATGTTGCCTTTGAGTCCAGTTAAGGCTCCTTCTCTGGAGATTTTTTAACAAGAGGCTGGATGTCCATCTGTTGGGAGTGCTTTGATTGTGTTTTATGGTGAAAGGTGATTGATTTGGAAGGCTCTTGGGAGTCTCTTCCAACTCTAGAATTCTAAGAAAGGATCATTCAAAAAACAAAACATCTCTGAGTCCAGGAAACACACAGGACACTGCCACTTCCATTATGCCAGAAGGTGATTGGACTGGCTGGCTCTTGAGGTCTCTTCCAACTCGAGGATTCTATGATTCCAAGGCCCAACACTCAAAGCAAAACGCTCTTCTGACTGCAGTGCACAATTCAGTGCTTTAAAGCTATGGCCTTAAAGGTGGCACTCTCGACTGCATAACTGCCGTATATGGCTCTTGCTAACATTCAGGGCAACCTGGTACCTTCTGTCTCTGCTGGAACTGGGGGATCTGCTCCCCGACGGGTGAAAGTCCTCCGCTGGAGCCCAGCTCCTGTTCCACTTGGCTCATCCAGGCAGTCAGCTCTTCATACGTTGACTGGAATTTGGCGGCCAGCTGCCGGGCCTGTTCCAGTGTGCGGAGGGCCTTGGCACTGGAGGCGGTGATGTCCGCATAGCGGGTCTTGATGCCGTCCAACTTCTCCTGGATAAGCAACACTTCTTCTCCTGCCGGAATCAAGCACCAAGAGTTTAGCTTGAGCCCTTCTCTTCCAACCATATTCATCCTCCCTAAACTCCATCTCCCACTCCTCTTTCATAAATGGAGGATAAATTTGGGAAGGAGTTAAAAATACTTCCACATTTTCAAGGAACTAAGCACCTGGGAGCTAATATTGAGGATGCAAAGAAAAATGTAGGAGATGAATATGTTTTTCAGACTGACCTGTGGTTTGCTTCAGAAGAGCCTGTCCATTCTTAATGGCCTGGTCGACATTCTTCTTGCGGTTCACAATCTCGTCATTCAAGGTCTAGAAAGAACAAAGGCATCCATGAGGTTCTTTTAGCTCCACAGAGGACCGAGGTGTCTTTCTTATCAGTCCTAAGTAGCCCACTGGTGAACAAAGAGCTCTATGTGACTCTGTGAGATACAGAAGCATGGGTGCAAAATGATGCCCAAGGCAGAATGAGCAGGCCTGCTAATTTTTTTTTTTTTGGGGGGGGGGGGGGGTTACAGAAAGTGTGAAAGTCAACATTAAGCCTGCAAAATACCTGTGTAGCTCTTTCACTTCCCTTACTTTGCTTTATACTGTCAGGGGTGCTTTGAATGAAATGTTCCTCCTTCTTGGCAGGGGGTTGGACTGATGGCCCATGAGGTCTCTTCCAACTCTATGATTCTATACTTTACTATTGATCATGTATTTAAATGGCTCTTGGAGGCAGCTGAAGCTGGGGAGCTAGAATACTGGGGAAAATGAGAAACAAAATACTTGGGTACTTTGGCTTTTATCTAATCTATTTAATCTGTTGAAATCAGTGTGTTTTAAATGTAGTTAAAACAAATGGTTTTACTGTTGATTGTTTAATTGGTTTATTTTGTTTTAACTTGTCATTTATTTTGTATATATTGTTTATTGTGTTTACCGATGTTGTGAGCCCCCCCCCCCCCCGAGTGTTTTCAGGAGATGGGGCAGAATAGAAATAAAGATGATGATGATTACAATTATTAAACAGGTTTGAATCCGGGGAGATCACGGATGAGTTCCCTATATCAGCTCCAGCTTCCCATGCGGGGACATGAGAGAAGCCTCCCACAAGGATGGTAAAACATCAAAACAACCGGGCATCCCCTGGACAACATCCTTGCAGACAGCCAATTCTCTCACACCAGAAGTGACTTGCAGTTTCTCAAGTTGCTCCTCACACACACACATATTAAACAGAATGACCCCAAAGAAAGCCAGTGATTTCCATACTTGTAAAGGTTCGAATAGCTCCCTCTCTTTTTCAAGAGCCAATTAAAAATTTTCCTGTTTAGACAGACCTTTAGTGAAGGAAACTGAGATGGATTAATAAGAAACACCATAATGTTTATGGACTGGAACAAAGTGCAATATAATCTGACATGATGCCAAAAGAATGTGAATGTATATTATTGTTGTTTTAAACTGTTTATTTTGTGATATTTTATACTTATCATTGATATATTTGGATTGATGTTTGCATTATTTTAATATGTTGTAAGGTGCTTTGGGCCCTGTGAGGGAGAAAAGTGGGATATAAATAGAGATATCAATAATAATAATAATAATAATAATAATCTTGGTGACCTTTCAGGATACCTTATTAACTCCTAGTTTGTGAATTGTCTTGCTACCATGAGATGAAACCACCACTACTGTGAAGGAAGAATTTGGGATCTTTTTGCCGACCTCTGCTGTATTTTAATCCCATTTGATGTTTATATGTGGAGTGCTTATAACCAACTGTTAATCCAGAAAGACTCCCAGAGGAGCTTACATATTGTGAATTCTACTGTTCCCTGTCCTTTGTTTTACAATCTAAATAAGACTGGACTCAGGAGGCAAAGGGAAAGGCAGTGCCAGCAGGGATTCGAGTCCAGCAGGCATTGGCTGCCATCCTCTTCCTCTGAAGCCAGGGCAGTGGCAGTTGGGATGCTGCTTTGTCATTTTAGAATGACAATTCAAACGATTCAAAAAGAGAGAAATGCAACCAAGAAAACAGCCAAGTCAACAGGAGATGAGAAAGGGGCATGAAGTACCATCTGGTCGGCATGCTGCCTGAGCAGGACGTCCAACTTGTAGTCCTTAACAGCCACCAAGTCCAGCTTGACCTGCACCTCTCCCAGCCAGTTGAGCACCTCCACTTCATCCTCCCCAAAGAGCCGGGCGTTGACCAAGGCCTGGTCCAAGAGGGCAGCCTTCCGGCCACAGCGCTCACAGACCTCTGCGTAGCGTGACTGCAGCAGGTCCAGCTTTTCAGCCAGAGAGGCCTGGTCCGGGCGGCAGCTCAGGGCGGACAGGGACTGGCCGAGGCTGACCGCCTGAGCCACAGCCGGAGCATGGCTCTCGGTCTCTTCTGCGAGAGCCTGGGAGCAGTTCAGGAGGAGTCAGGATGAAACAAAACAAGAAGGAAGAAAACAAAAGAAGAAGCAAACAAAAGCATATGGTTGAGAAATGGAACAAACACAAACAGAGGAAAAATAAATTCAAAACAAAATTGAAGCATGAGTATGGGTGATGGTTATACAAACTCAAAATACATAATCCACCTGCAGAAGGGCAAATCATAGATGTATAAATGGATTTACTAAAAGGTGATGCAAAGAGGCATGGGTTGTTTCAGCCTGTCCTGAGCCAGGTCAAAACAGGAAAAGGGCTATAACTGAGGCTGCTTTCCCCCCATGATTTAAAGAGATGAGAGGCCTTGAATTAGAAATATCTTTTCCACTCAGGAGCCAAGGTCTTGTTTATCCAGATAAAGACTAGCAGGACTGTTGCTGAATGAACAAGTCAGCAGTGAATATCAAAACATTCCAAAGCTTTACATTGGCTTTACTCAAATGGAATGCTCTCTGCAGATGTGGACTACCACTTCGATCATTCCCAGCCAATTTGGCAAAATGGAAAAAGCCGCAATTCTCTGAAAACTCAGTGAATGTAATAGAACTTGCTTCTCGGAGGCATGCATGCCATTACACTAAGTGTAGGTAGGGCATGAGGATTCAATAATGTAGACAATGAAGTTCCAACATAAAAGCTATGATCCTACAAATCTTCGGTTCCATCTTGAGAGGCATCTATCCACTATTATACTCTTTCAGACACCTACTGTCCATCTGACTCTTGCCCCAAACCCTCTCTTGCATACTCTTTCTAATTCCAACCTTATGCCGGGTGATCTGCTGCTGGATTTTGGGCGTCTGTGTCCCAATCGGCTCCGAATTGGCCAGTTTCTTCTCTGTCACCGACAACCAGTCAGAGATGGGCTCCGATGTTTCGTGGAACTGCTTGGCCAACACCAGGATCTCCTCCAGCTGGTTTTGCCTGAGGTGGGACAACAAACTTATTCAGATACTGCTGCAATGGAAGGCAACCTTTCCTCAGGCATTCCCATAGAGGCTACTCAATTGAATGTTCAGCAGCTGATTTTACTTGGATCTTAGAAAAAATTTAAGAGACAGATTCAAGTCATACTCAAGCCACTAGCCTCCTTGAACCCATTCCTTTCAAGGTGAACCTTGAGCTAAAAGCCAGAAAAAAGAGTACATATTCAGTCACTCAATCAACAAATTGTCCAAAAACAACTGGAAAACTGAAGGTGGAAAGCTACTAACTCAGAAGAGACCTGTGGAAGTCCTCTCTCTGGAACCTGCCTTTTCAGAAATGCACTCTGCATATGCTCAGAGTTCCTTCATTATGGATGCATTAATGCCATTTTATCAAGTACATATTTAAGGATGGGTCTACCAGCAAAGGTCATGAGGGCAATTAATCCAATCTGGATTCTATTGTAATTGTTAATGGAACTATCCAAGGTACTGAGCTCTTAATCGGGTTTGAATTAAAACCTGAATTCGATCTCCTACAAAGCCTACTTGAGAGGTGCCTCTTATGTTGCTTTCCTGCAGCTCTATGGCTAATTACTGGGGGAAGTCCCAGGAAAAAGGAATAAAAAGGAGATGCCAAATGGAATACAATGAATATGGATCCTGAGCAGGATGGCATTTCTTGCATGATTCTCTTGCACCATCTAGACCAGGCAGGAATAAATATATTTGTCTTGCAAAATTCGTCTTGCAAAATAAAAAAGGGGGAGGGGAAAGGATTGAGTGATATGAGAATGCCCCAGGCAGATCTGTGTTTAACAAACAGCCAGCTCACAAAAGAAGAGATTCCTCCCTCTTTGTTCTGCACATAGATGAGTGCTTTCTAGGAAAAGACAAGAAGGGGGCTTGAGGAAACTGCTGAGTCTGGTCCTTTCTGCAGATGTTGCAGAGTTCTCTGCTGGAACGCAGCTGCTAGGGATTCCTTCCTTATTTTTAGGCAAACAGAAGCAAAGAGGTCTCCCAAATACCTACACTTCTGCCAAGATCCAGGGCTGTGCAGAAAAGGCCACACAGATTTCAAAGGAGGAAGAGGAAATTTGGATGTCTCTGTAGTCCAGATGAGAAAATAGAGATTAAACTTTCTCAAAAGTCAAAATGACTAAACAAAGGCCATTGTATATGTGACACATCAGCAGCTCTTTGGATATTAAAACAGTGACTGGTAAAGTGGAAGGAAAAGAGGAAGACCAACAGCTGGATGGACTTGCAAAGCCATAGGCTTTGCAAGACTCAACAGGGTTTCTTTAAGGGCAGCTATTCACAGGGTCCCCATAAGTCAAGATTACCCATATTGCTGTTACTTTACTTTCTTGGCTGTAGTTCACTCTATATAGTAACAACAACAACAACAACAACAATTTTATTTCTATACCACCCTATCTCCCAAAAGGAACTCAGGGAGGTGTACAACAAGGAGCACACTTGCGTTACACCATTACATCTATGCAGTCATGCATAATGAACATGTGTGCATTCTGTTCTGCCCCATGTCAACAAATGAGAAAACACTCCATTCCAACCGCAAAACAACACCAGAAGTGCAGTAAGAACATATATGGACATATCAAACCCATAAAGGGTCAAAATCCAGAAGTTCTCCAGCAAACACACATCTGAAATGAATTACAGACCCTTCTCTCTCTTTTGATATTCCCCAGCCTATTGATTCATTAATCTCCAGCAAACCCTGCTTATCAGAACAGTAAAGAATTTCTAGAGCTAGATGCATGGTTTATATAGTTTCGCAATAATTCAGCTAACTTCTCATGTATGTTGCAGGAGCAGGAAAGGATTATAAAAGACATGAAAGAAGAATCATGCACTAAGAAAGGTCTGGGATAGCACAGCAAAATAAAGCAAAAGAGTTTCCCTCCTCAACAGTGAGGGAAAAGCTGAGCAACAGTTGACTTCCAATATTCCAGGGCTGAATTATGGCAGACAAGCCTGGTCTCAACAGGCCTCTTGTCTTACCTGGCCATTGCTTTGCTGAGGAGGCCTTCCCAGCGACCTCCAAGGCTCTCCAGTTGGGCTGCTATCTTTTCCCTGTCAGCTGGCTCAGCAGACTGCGCTATCCGCCCACCTTCTGCGTGGATCATCTCCACAGTGGCTTTCCGGTCATCCAGGAGGCGCTGGAGTAGCTTTGGGGCAAAAGGGAGTTGGAGATGACCAACCGGAAAAACAGAGAATTTCTAACTTTTGCAAAAGGATAGAATTGGAAAGAGACTTCATATAAGGGCAAGTGGAGACAGCCTCAAAGGCTTGGAGCAGCTTTCTGTGGGAGGTGGAGGTCATGGGGGTACAAAAGTGGCACTTTTCCATGGTGTGGACTAGAAACTTCAACTTTATGAAGAAGAATGAGGTGTAAGGACACGAAGGGAAGGCTGATGTGATTACAATGTAGGATCCTATCAGAGGGAACACTCAATTTTAGACATTGTGATTTGGGAGATGATAGAAATTAATTCTTCTCTTGCTTTCTTCAACTCAAAAGAGATGGAGGAGAGAAGATGGGAAGAAGACGATGTCTGGCCATCAGAAATTTAAATGAATCTTCCCAATCAAATGCAAGCTGTTTGACCCTTCCATAAGAACTCAGCACTCTTTCCGCGCCTACATTAGTAGGACTTCACGATTCACCTTTTGCTCCTGGATTTGAGCCTTTACTACTTTGTATTCAGCTGACGGTGGCTTCTGATTGGAGATGAGCTCCTCTGTGTCAGTCAGCCAGCTAAGCAGAGGTTCCAAGGCATCCTGAAATTTCCCACAATGCAACAGGGCCTCTTGCAGTTGCGCCGTTCTGTGGGCCACCTATGTTTTTGCCAAAATACATAAGGACAGGACACATTAAGTCTTAAGAGAAATATGTGGTCTCCAGCTGGTTATAAAACATGTGTTCAGTGAGATAAGGTCATCACTCATCATTTTAGAAATAGAACATGAATGTATTTCTTCTTCAACTGTCTTATTCCATTCTCCACCTTTCCTCGGTTGTTAGTCTTTCCTTTTCCTTCCCCTCATCTGTTTGTCATTCATATGAAAGTCCATACTGTTGGCTCATTGAGGAAAGGACCTCCCTTACATTATCCATAAGAGATCAAATTACTTCTAGAAATCCATTAACTCATTTCCCAACATTCTGCCAATACAAGTGCAAAAAAAGCTACCAATCTTTATCTGCAGCCTGCTAATTCCTGATCTAAGCTGCTTTCTTGGTTATCTTATGCAACCAAGGTCTTTTTCAGCCTTAAAGATGTTACAAGACTTCTCTGCATAGCGATCCAGACTAACTTAGCTATGAATTCGACAAAGATCATGGTACTCCCAATTTTAGGATCTTGGGACCAAACTGGGACCTTGCTTTCACACTGTTTGTTGTTCTGAGATGAACTCTGCTGGTAATGGTCCATAGCCTCTTCACCCACCTTCTTGTTGAGGGTATTCCAACGGGCGTTGATGTCCTCCATATCATGTTCCAGGCCTTGCACATCGGAGTTCTTTCCTGCACTCTGGATGAGCCCCTGACCGATTCCATTGACTTCCTGCAGTTTAAGCTGAATGGGATCCACTTTCTCCTTCTGGAACACCTGGAACAAAATGGAAGGGGGAGAAATGTGAGGAGACTTTCATCACAGACCATGCACTTCCTCAAATGCCCTTAAATGTGACTAGGAAATTTATTGAGTTTTAACCTGCTGGGAATTCAAGTCAGGATCAGTGGCTCTCTAAACTCCGATGTCAACTTCATAACAACCTCTCCAAAGTAGATACCACTTACTAGATAGAGTTCATTTCGCCCTTAGTCAAATACATTGATTTATTTATTGTGCCAGATGCGAGATTGAGAGTACAGTTAAAATGCATTTAAAAACACACAAAAGTTTTTAAAAGGATTTGGCATTATGCTAGATATCCTTTGACCAGAAGCTGGTCACTTGGAGTGTCTCTGGTGTCGCTATGAGAAGGTCCTCTTATGTCCAAGGGGGACATGAGAGAAGCCTCCTCACAGGATCTTAACACATCCGGGCATCCTCTGAGCAATGCCTTCATAGGCAGCTGATTCTCTCACACTAGAAGCGACTTGCTGCATGCAACCAAACAAATCAATTGGTGCCCAGCTACTTCATGGCTGTTGTAGGCTTTTAACCAGGACCTCCTTGGTCCAAATGACTAACAATACCCTGCACTGGCAAGATGTAACTCATTTCTGTTTGGTAAAATCCTTGTTGATTTCTAGCACACAAATGCTACATTATGGGGCCCCAACAAAGTTTCGTCATTGAGTCTCAATGAGTCAACAGAGCAACAAGCAAATGGAAGATGCGAATGGCAAGTGAGTTGTTCATTCAACAGGCCATTATCTTTATTTTGATTTGAGGACCTCAAGATGTTGCTCTGCACAGCAGTTTCACTTGGCTTCTGGAGAAAGGGTTTTAAGGAAGCAAATAAAAGCAAGAAGGCTCTGTGTTTTAGGGGTCTGAATGTTTAGTGGATTTGCATTGAGACTTGAGAAGGACCCCACACCCCAAACAAGGTCTCTCTTTTTCCCTGAAACACCAAACAGGCTTGGAAGGAAAAGAAATCCAAAAAAATAAAATGAAATCTAGATGACAGAAAAAGAGAGGTGCCCCTCCCAAGCCAATGCAATCCGGAGGAAGCTGGTCTGGGATCCTCTCCCTTGGAGAGGCTCTTCCAACTTCCCCTTGAACTCTGGAGATTTGTTAACACGTGCATATGGGCCCAAAACAGCTTCACGTTCCCTGTCCTCGGCAAGCACACAAGTCTGCAAATAGACCGAAAACCATCTGCCACATTTTTGTTTTAAAAGCCAAAGGAAGATTAATAGGTTTGCCTCCTTCTCTAAGATCTTCCCACATTTTTCATGGTATGTGTGTGAGAGACACAAGGGTTTAGAAAAGTAGAGTGGGAAGAAGATAAACTCTGGTTCCTGGATCTTGGATCTCTTGGCTGGAATGAGATGCAAGCAGGGAGCCCGGGCACATACAGTAATTCTACCTCTCCCTGAAAACAGCAGCAAGAGGCAGCACTGATGGCTGAGGAGAATCCCTCTTTGTGGGTCAAGAAGGGCCACATGAAGCTGGGACAGTGGTATTTTGCCACATAGAACAGGGAACGGAGGAGTCACAGTGTCAGAACCAAGCTGTGGGGTTTCAGAGAACTACAGTTACCAAATCTTTACACAGAAGGCACTTCAATTTTGGAAAACTGCAGGAATCAACAAATTTGACATTTTAAAAATATGTAAGTGGTACACAACATATGCTGCAAGTTTAACTATACAAATTTTATTTTAGTCTCTGAATTTTATTTTCACCCAGACAAGTCAGTGTCATTCCTAAACCAGCCTTCCCTATACTCCAGGTGGATTGGCTATGTTGACTGAGGGGGTGAGAGGGGTAGTCCAATGCCCTCCAATCTGGAGGGCATTGGTTTGGAAAAGCTGTCCTAAAGCATCCCCGAATCCTAAGAAAATCACCCAGAGCTATTTGAGGGGTCCCTGGGCATTTCCACAATTGCTGTTTATCTGTTCCTGAAGTTCTTGGAATGGTAAACCTGCAATGGATGACTTGACGGAAGCTGCATAACATAAGAGAACCACAAGGGCTCTGGACACGGGTGCCCAAGCCACACTGAAGTCTCACGTTTGGGGATGCTATGGAACCAGAGGAGACCCAGAGAGGCTGACTTGGTTAAATCCACTTCACTTCTAGACTCTCCTGTCCTCCTACAAGGGCAGCTCTATCTAAATGTTACAAAAACTCCCTCTTCTCTGTGTTGACCCATTAAAACATTTTCTGCTTTAGGAGGGCTACCAGTTGGTGCACAAGACCACCAGATACTGTATATAAACTAGAGAACAAATAATCAACAATAAAAGCCAGCAGGATAAAAAGGAAAAACAAGGAAACGACACATACATGGGAGCAGAGGAATGATAAGACAGATATAAACACTCAAAATGGACAAAGTCATAAACAGATTTGCTAAATGTCTGAGTCTCTTTTGCTTGTACAGTAACTAAAAACCAAGAACAATCTTTGCCAGAAGAGAGCAGTCTTGGTGCCACTCTGATGAGGGCCTTGGAAGGACCCATCGGAGGACTTCTGGGGAAATAATCCTTATTTCCTTTGCCAAACAAATACCCAGAGTAATTTATCCAGCCAAATTAGAGATTATCCGAACCTCTTCTTCACAACCGCCTGAACTGTCTCAACCATAGTTCCATTCCTTCCTGAAATGTGCCCTAAATGCTCAACAAAGGAAGGCAGCATGGATTATCTGAAGGATTGAGGTGCAGGTCTCTCCATGAGAGGGAACACATGCCTATCCTGCAGGGCTGGGCAAGCTCAAGCAGAGACACCCTAAGATGTTGATGAACAATGAAGAGGAGGCCCAGCATCAGATAAGGTGGCATTGTTTTTCCCCCTGGGTTGCTAAACAGCGGAGGCCCAGAGCCAAGATGACAAATGGGAGATTAAGAAGGATTACTTCACTATGGGAAGAAAGCAAAGGACAGATTTGCTCAGCCCACATCCTTCTCTCCCTCCCAAGCTGCAGCCACAGGACTTCCCTCCTTCAATAATTCCTGCCTCACTCTCCCAAACTTCTCAAGGTGTCCTTGAACGTTCTTCATGCAGAGCTTGGAGGAAACCACATCCAAGAGACCCACTGCCCCACAAATGCTTCCAAGTTGGATGCCGACATGCAGGAACCTGAAATGCCACTATGCTCCAAAGATTGGATCTTTCAAGCCCCACTGTCTCAATCCCCAAAGGACTTGCCCTTTCATGATGTTGCAATTGCTGCCAAGATCTCATTTTCTAACTTATACCTCTCTAGGACCTCCAACACAACTCTGGTAAACTGGGATTGGAAGTGATGCTGTTTAATAGTTTTCTGTCATATCCAGTTTGAGGTCTAGCCAGGAACAAATTCCCACAGCTATGGGGGTCTTACTGTATTCTCAGAAGATTTATTGGACTCTCAGAAGGACCCATCAATTCAACTAAATGTTATCGATATTGAAGTGCAGATTTCACTCAACTGCCAATTGTCTCAACTGTTGCCTGTCAATTACCCAAGTCAACCCAAACTTTCAGGACGGCTGTGAAGTCAAAAACATCTGTAGGAGAAGGAGAGAAACAAGGTATGCTAGGGACCATGTATTACCATGATTCCACTTCAGCTGCCATAGCAACATCCCACAGAGTCCTGGAACCTGCAGTTTAGGGAGGGCTACTGAACAGTCTCTGCCAAGAACTTTAGTGCCTTGCCAAACTACAAATCCAAACTACAGTTAAAATGGAATCCTAGTGCTATCAGTGCAGCATGAAAAGATCCATGGTCATATTCAGTGGAAGAAAGAAGTTAAAAAGAAAGGAATGAAATCAATGAGAAGCATTGTGTAACTAGTGATACAACTTTTCTGCTCACAAGTAGAGCCATGCAAATAAGGAAAGGCAATATATTTTTGCAACTCTTGACACAGTTAAAGAGTTAACAACCGCTTCCCAATAAAACTGCATCCAAGTTCCTCTTTAGTGGAGAAAGCCAAAGGGGTTAAGGTTTACGGAGGGCCTCCAGAGAGACAGCTGTTTTATCTCAGATGGGAAGCGAGGCAGCAAGAATCTGGTCTGGAAAAGACAAGGGGGAGATTTATTCCTTCAACGTCTCCTTCTCCAGAAATGGGAAGATGCCAGGACCTAAAGCAAAGATGCTGTCCATAGCCACTGAGTTACTGTGCCTTTGCAAGGAGGGATGGCGATGTAACAGGGATGGCTCTCTCTCCTGGAAGTGCTTATTTGACATTATTTGTGTGTATATGGAATGAGGCCTTTTCACCAGTCACACAGATAAGCCAGGCATGCAAACACTTTGCAGGCAAGTGCATGCCACCACCTCTGCCTGCCCACGCCACTGGGCCACAGCCTCCGAGGAGAAACTTATTTTTAAAACCAACACAGAGGAGGACTTTGAAGCATTTCATTGGGGCCCACTGGCAACAGCTGCTGTGTTTGGGTCCAGAAACCAGAGACAGGTTCAATGGGGGAGGCTCAAAAAAGCCAGTTTAAGCAAAGCCTCAGCGGAGAAATACTTGGGAGGCATTGCTTGGTACTCCTGCAACAAAACCCAGTGAGAATTCCAGAGCATTGGCTTCCCATTGGAAAAAAAGCTACAAACATGTCCTTGACAAGAGATAAAAGAACAAAGGCAGGAAAAGGCTGTAAAATTGACCAGTGGAGAAGGAAAAAGGAGTGGACCACTACAAAATTTCGGGTGACAAGAGGGTCAATTGGGAAGTCACTCGTTTTTTGCATCAGGGTTTGAGAGTCATCAAAGTTTTCATTTCAATGCACAAGAGCGAAATGCAAATTATTGCTTTGGCAAGAGGGAGGCTGAAGATTTGCCTTGAGCAACTACGATCTCTGCATTTAAAACCAAACTCCTGTGTCCAAGAGCGATACGGTCACTCTATAGTTTGAGCCCATGAGAGGAACAGGATGGAGATACAATAACCTTGAATTAACAAAAGGAAGCCTCTTTAGCTTGTTGTCAGAACAAGAGA